TATAAGGTGTTCACTGTCAGTATCGACAGAGGGTCCAACATCACCAGCGGAGTATCCATCAGTATTGAATGTCTCACTGCTCACCTGCACAGAACACATCTATAACCCACCGGAGTGTCGTCACTACATCAGAGCATCCGATGAGTCATACGCCCGAGATAGAAGAGTGTCCAGAGAATCTAGATCACAGTTTTGGTACAGCGGAGTGTTCATCGATATTCCAGAGTGTCCACTGAATTATAGACTAGAAACTAGAGAGCAGCTAGTTCCTAAAGATGATCCATCACTCACACAAAGTATCCGATGGAGCCTGAACCCTTAGTAGCCCACATCACCTACAGACCTGATCTGACGGATGGCCCGCCACAGTTGACAAAACTTTATGATAGGATCACCTTTTACATCGAGAGATTTTCGAGAGCATAGACTTCATACCGGAGAGTCCGATCCTAGTTTGGAGAGTCCGATGGATCTAGAGAGCCAATATCCCACTAAGTCCTAGTAACCACCGGACCGTCCGACATCCACACCGGACTACCCGATAGTTATCAGTCAACAGATAACTAGTGTCTAACTACACTCACTCATGTGTCACTAAAGCATAAACAACTAAGAATCGTTGCATAGCATGAGCATGTACTTTACGCAGTTCACTCATCAAGCATCATGCATGTATAGGTGACCTGATTCCTAAAGAACCTGTTGAGGAGGAGCCTCATGAGGAAGAAGTCATCAATCCTAGCAACGACGTTCAAGGTAGGCCCCTATGCATCCCTATGCTTTACAAATGCATAATGAACTATGTTTATCTACTGCATTGCTATGTTACTATATGACTAGTGAACCGGGAATGGAATTACCTATGTCAAGCCTTATCCATATATTGTCACACCAATCAACCATACATGTCTTGTTTGACAACCATGCTTAGTATGCTTAGATCTTAAAAGTCGAGCTAATGATGGGTTTCTCATTACTCGCGTGATGATAGGATGATAATCCACTAAGCAACACTTTGGGAAGGGATCAACACTAGTTTCACTTGGGAATGGTATGAACATTGGTCGGCAGAGGGTATGGTCATGGCAAGATGGGGATTCTTGGATGGCATAGCTTGCTTACTGGTTAAGGACCGTGTATCCGTGGTAGTGAGTATGAACATAAAACTGTATAGACCACTTGTTGTCAATGGGGGTGATAAGCCAAGTAACTAATTGCGATCATCTTATCCGTGAAACTGGCAAGGGGGATGGCGACGGTCGAGAATGTCTTAGACATTGACTGAGCATCGTAGCCAAACCTTTCGTTGAACATCTTGGCCGGGTTAGGGAAAGGTTGAGACATCGAGATATCCCTTCTGTATCGATGGGTCTTATGGGCTATATCCCTTGTTTCAAGTGGGGTTAACTTGTACCCCTCTGCATAGTATAAAACATTGAAAGCAATAAGTTCTACTTCTAGATATGGATTAGAGTTGGGCTCGGAGATCAGAACTCATGAAAGATCGAGTTCCCGCTTGTTAATGCTTAACTTGATTACCTATGCTATGCTTAATAACTGCTACGTCATAGATCACCTTTACTTTACAGCATAAATGCTTTTATGCAAAGTTACACATTCCTTGCTACTACCCAAATACATAATCCTTGTTTATTATATTGGGTAAGTCATGTGGAGTACACTCGAGTACTCACCCTGTGTGATCTTAAGTTTTGCAGGTACCGTAGTCCTGTGCATGGATAGTTCTATGCTCCCGACCCCTCGTTGGATCAGGAGTGGTGAAAGGTCTTGTGTTCCATAGATACATGGATGTGGAACACCCATGTATTCGTTATCGTGAACTATGTTATGTTGAAAGACTTCCGCTAAACTTTGATGTAGATTGCAATGTGTGACCGTGTGATGAACTAAGTGTGTAAAGCAAGACTTGTAAACTTTAATGCTTTGAACTTGTAATGTGATCTATGCACTATTGTGATGTATTCTCTCTCTCGAATTGATCCTAAAGAGGAGTTGCTATGTGCACTCCTATGGACCTCGTTGTTGGTTTGCTTAAATTGAGGGGTCAAGTGGTCGACACTTGATTTAGGTGGATTAACGCGGCGGTCACCACAAGTATGTTCCAAAATATTTCAGTTGTTTCAGTCTTATGTTGCAGCAAGTGGTTTCATGTTGCAAGTTGCAAGTGTTATATTTTTGGATGTTTCATGTGTTCCACACACATGTTGCAAGTGCATATTACAAATATTTCATCTGTTTTTCCGACGTATGCTGCATTCAAATGTTTTTTCATGTTGCAAGTGTTTTATGTTGTCCGGCCGAGGATGAGTCGAGGGATAGACGGACGGTGCGCGTGGCGCCGAGGGACTGCAGACGAGGGTGCTAGGGGTGGGCGGACGGGTGCTCTTGTCAGGGCGCGCCGGGTCTCGACTCTCGATTGCCGCCACGCGGAGAGAGAGGAGAGGGTCTCGAGAATAACCAGTGGGCTCAGATACAAAGGGTAGAGTGCGCGCGTGGAACGGGCGAAGCTAGATGAGGGTGGGGCGATGGCGGACTGGGGCGGGCTGCGTGGGCATCCGGATGCTAGCCACGTCCTTTTAGAAGTTAGAGAAATCCTGTTTTTCTTAGAGGTTCAGTGTAATTTTTTTTTGAGACTTAAGGCCTTCCTGAGAGATAGTACAGTTGTTGGTTGGGCCTTGGCAACTCTCTTTCTCAGGCTAGCCCAGTAAAATGATTAGGTATTTGGATCACCATCCACAAGAACCGGCATAATGTGGCCCAACCAGGCCATCATCAATTCTGAAATAAATGGATCCTTGTAGAAAAGGTTTATTTTTATCTCTTTATAAACTATCGCAGGAGTCTAACTTTCTTTCTCGAACTTGAAAATTAGACATTTTACCTTGACTATCTCTCTGTCCTGTCTTGATTAGAAGTGGTTTCAACCTTTTTAGTTAAAAATCCAGTAATCATTTTTTTTCAAAAAAAATCTAGTAATCACATGATAAGGCTTTTACCACAAATAATGTCTCTAAACTTCTAAAAGTTCTAAGAAGAATATTAGAGATAGATTCGAACACAAGAAACCCAAAAAAATTATTTTGATCTAGTGGAAATATCTTTGTAAGATAAAAAAAATAAATTTAACTAAAAAAAGCTATCAAAAAAACTAGAGAATCCCCAAAGCATTGTAGCGGACGTCTAAATGCATATTTAAAACTGTACAACAGAAAAGAGGTACATGCATCATGAATTCATTAATCGTTGAAACTTTCTAAAACGTGTCTAGACATCAAATGTAATGTTTTGGGGATTTTTCTTTATTTCTTTTTCTAGATATATTTCTCATTCTTCTAGAGCTAAATAAATAAAAAAATTGGAAGCTTCTAAAGATATGTTCATGATAGAAATATTTTACTTGGGTTTCTCATATCCCAATTCATCTCTATATTTACTTATTTTTACATTTTTCATGGTTTTGATTGAAAACCTTATCAGGTGTTTTTCGATTTTTAATAGAAACAAGGATGAGACCACGTTCAAAATCACTTCCAAACAAGACAGGAAGGTAAATTAAATAATTTTGAGAATTGAGGAGGTGGGTAAAATGTCCGGTTTTGGAGTTCCAGTAGGAATGCTGGACTACAAGTCTACAATAGTTCCATGGTTGTGCGCTTGTGCATATGTTCAACTGGGTCTATCCTATATTTCTATACAGAATTGAGCGACTAAAAAAAAAAAAGTCTTTTTAGTCAGTAAGTATGTGGTTGAACTTTAATCTAGAAATGCGAACAATCCCTTGTTCTAGCAGAAGAAAATTTCAAGATGTGGAAATGGTATCCTAGTTCTAGCAGAAGAAAATCTCAGTTCCATGCATGCTTGATGGCAGGCAACATACAAGTACAAATATTCACGGCGCGTACTCGGCGTGTCCCGTTGCGGATTCTTGCAGGCAACTCTCACAGTTGCATGCAGATTTCTTCTTCTTGGTTCCCCGCCCCAGCCGCCCTGCTGTGCTGCTCCCGAAGCCGCCACGTGCATCAACCTCGGTGCCGCTAGACCTGCACGGATGGAATGGAAATGGATAGCACGCCGCCGGAGCTGGGCACCGACGACTTTGGCCTTTCCACCGTAGACCTCTCCGACGACCAGACTGTTCAGCAATGTGTGCGCCCATGTTCTCATGTTCTCCACGCAAAGACATCCTTTTTACAATTTCGACAGGATTGATTGATACGAAAACAGAATGCGTAGGTTTCCCGTCCATAGATCCAACCCACCCAGATGCAGATGCCGCCATGCCGGTGCAACTGTGCAAGAGCAACTCCGATAAATGCTGGGCACCACGGCGAGATTCCTCTGGATGATGCCACCAATCCTCATTAACTAATCCAACAAATCCTCGAGAAAAGGACGTCCTTTTCTGTGAAGGGTAGGAGCAAGAGCAAATTCTCTCATCAGTGCCCACTGCCCGGCGGCCTGGCCTACCGCCTTCAAGTTCTTGGCACAACCAACCCGGCCGGAGGAGAGGGAGGGGAGGAGCCGGCCAGCCGGGCATATTCTCTCTAGCGGTCCAGCCGCAGCGCCCTGAAAGCGACCGCCAACCGCAGGCGAGGGAGGCGCCCACTCTTCTTCTTCTTCTTCTTCTTCCTTGCCGAGCACCCGCCGTACGTCTCTTGCACCTTCTTCCAGTTTCTCCCATTTCGGTTTGTCCAGCCCCTCTCTTTCCTGCCGCCCCTCGACTTCCCCGGAAGGTCAAATCCTTCGCCCCTAAGCTTTTTATTCTGATCGTGCGTTTGGTTCTGGAATCGCTGCCTGCTGCTGCACATTCTCCTCGCATTGATTCTGAAGGAGGCTCTGTGCCGTGGAATTGCTCTGCTCGCTTTCTTTCAAAAAAAAAAGAAAGAATTGCTCTGCTCGCTTTCGGTTTGTGTGATTGATGTTCCTCTGGTGCTTCAGCCGATTGAGATTCAGCTTGGATGCATCTGCAGGTCTGAGAGATGGAGCCTGGGCGCCAGCGTGGTGGCTCTCCTACTCTTGCTGTCTGCTGCTTCTCATGGAAGAGGTAGTTCCGTGTGATTCTCTTATGCTTGTTGGGTTGCTGTTGTATATAAATTGGCATCAAAATGATTTCGACAGCAAGCTAGCTTTAATAGTCCGTAACAAACAAGATAATTATCTTATTTTCATCGATTGTGCTATGAGTGGAATAAGCATGTCATTGCATTTGCAAACATCTCAAATGCTGTAGTTTTACATAGGGCCATAGACAAAAGGGACACCTACCAACTATCTGATGGAATTGCCAGGTAGTGGTTGTCCGTTAGGGGGCCATCAGCCATGCCAGCAGCTGGGCTAATTTAACGGGCTAATTGACTGTCATAATTGGGGCATATAGTACAAACATGAAACATCTAGCAAAAGCTCTAGCCATCTGTTAGTTCCTGCTACAGGACCGCGTTGTTCATATAGTGGAGTCCTGATTGCTGCAAAGGAAGCCATTATTGGTGGCCCTACAAAACAAAAGAAGTTAGGAAATTGCTAAAGTAGATGGTTGATGAACTGTTACTGCATAGAATCGTTACAGATTGTTTTTTAAGTTGACATTGCACTCAGGAATCTAGTAGCTGGTTGCATTCTTATATCCAGTCTGTCATTTTTTTTATTTCCTTTATCACAGAGTTGCCTGTCAAGCAGTTAGTGATCACAGTTTTATCTACAATCATACTCTCGCAAAGACTCTTGTGGAATATGCATCAGCGGTAAGTTACAACTTTCCCTAGTTTTTTGGCAGACTTTGTTTTCCACTGATTATTCACAATTTCCAAGTCCTTCCACCTTTTGTGTCAAAGGTTAATCTCATGATTCTCTGTTGTCTCTAGGTGTATATGACAGATTTAACTGCGCTGTTTACGTGGACATGCTCAAGATGCAATGACTTGACTCAAGTAAGAGACTGTCAAGTTTGTACTCTTCTGCTTACTGAAATACTTTAAAACATAAAGTTGTTTTTTAAAATGGCTATGGGACAGGATAAGCTGGCTTTTAGTTTTGATATGGTTTCGTATTGCTGAAATAGGGCTTCGAGATGAGATCTCTAATTGTTGATGTGGAGAACTGCTTGCAGGTACCTGTCCCTCTACATTTTGAATTAAGTTCTTATAACTTTTCTGTGAAATTGTATGTCTCTGTGCTATCAAACCCATCAAGCTTTTCAAGACCCTTTACCTACTGTTCTTTGGATGAATAATGTAACAGGCATTTGTTGGTGTAGCTCATAATCTGAATTCGATAATTGTTGCAATCAGGGGAACTCAAGAGAATAGGTACTGAGCTATTTGTTATTGCTTCCACTGTTCTCTGTTTAAACAAAGTTTGCTTTGCGTTTACTGTTTCCAATTCAGTTGTGATTTATGCTTAGATTTGATTAACCAGTGTACAGAATTGGATAAAAGACTTGATATGGAAGCAGCTTGATCTAAGTTATCCAAACATGCCAAATGCGAAGGTTAATGCCAATGAAGTTTCTATTGTATTTGATTCATTTGTTTGTATTCCTCTGGTTAAAGGTGCACAGTGGATTTTTCTCCTTATATAACAATACAATTTTGCGTCTAGCTATCACAAGTGCTGTGAACAAGGCAAGAAAATCATATGGAGATATCAATGTCATAGTGACAGGCCACTCGATGGGAGGAGCTATGGCTTCTTTTTGCACGCTCGATCTTGCTCTAAGTATCCCAAGGCCCAAGGGGCTTCAGAGATACTTACTGTGCTGTCTTAGATACTTTTGAACTTGTAATCCTGGAACCAAGTTTAAACAGAACATTTCTCCATAGATGAAGCTTGGAAGTGACAGTGTGCAACTCATGACTTTCGGGCAGCCTCGTGTTGGCAATGCTGCATTCACCTCATGCTTTGCCAAATATGTACCCAACACAATTCGAGTGACACACGGACATGATATTGTGCCACATTTGCCACCGTATTTCTCCTTTCTTCCCAAGCTGGCATACCACCACTTCCCCAGAGAGGTATACTATACCTTGCACTGCTGCATATGAAATTTACAAAGCTACTTTCTTTTAATGTCAAAAAACAAAGCTACTTTCTTTTTTGCATTTTTTCATCCTGTAAAATGTATGAATGGCATGTTGTAAAATTTCAGGTATGGGTCCAGGATTCTGATGGCAACATAACTGAAAAGATTTGTGACGACAGCGGTGAAGACCCAGATTGTTGCAGGTTTGTCTGCTGATAGCATCATGGGAAGTGGGAGATCTAGGTTGGTTTCTCGTCAGCTTTTGTTCTAACATTTGCCTCCATGATACTAGGTGCCTCTCCATGTTCAGCTTGAGGATTCAGGACCATTTCACTTACCTAGGAGTCGATATGGAAGCAGACGATTGGAGCACCTGTAGAATCATCACAGCTCAAAGCGTTCGGCAATTCCGACAGGAGCTAGCAGCCAGCAACATCATCATGACAGAGCACGATATCGATGTCTCCATTGTCGAACCTAGTGTACAAACAGATTGGAGCAGTTCTAGATAGCCGGAGCATTCCTTTTGTCCAGATTCAGAGAAGCAGCAGCCTCTTATTAGTGTAAATGTGTAATGGAAATTGTTCAGTGAAGAAGGCGAGCCTTGTTTTCTCTATTATAGTCCAGCCAGATTGGGATGCTTTTTTTAGATAAAGGAAATAAATCCAGCTTCATCTCTTGTAACAAAGAGAATCAGACCATGATGTAAACATGTGGACTGTAGGTGTACATGTAACACCCATGAATAGCAAGGTGTCCAAGGCTTTAGATCAGTGGGCACCACCCATGTTGTGGAAGACCAGATGATGGATAAGTTTCAAGAGTATGAACTGGGGATAGAAAAGAAAATAGAGAATAGACAGAGGTGTATGTAAGCCTTGCAACGCAATAACATAGAATGATCTTCTCACATTCGCTCACGTCGGTATCTACCGGCAGAATGAGTATATATTTGCAGCAACATAAGCACCAAGCTAACGGAAAGATATCAATCAACCGACTGAGGCGTAAATATATATGCACGATGTAAACTTGCAATGACATAGAATGCGTCTGTACAGGTAGATATCCAGACGGACCTGATCAAGAACTTGACAAGAAGGCGTGGCAGTGGTACGACGAGGCCAACGCGCTCTGCGATGCGCATGAGGTGGCCATAGTTGATTTGATTCGATCGTTGCACTGCCGTTGTGGGAGCAAACCCATCGTATCTTATGGCGACTTTGTGCAGTCCAGATAAAAGAACTGCCCCTGGTACTACCAATTAGGCACTTAACATCTCTATTAGTGATACCCGTTTGAATACTTTGGATTCTGAGAATCCGGATAGAAAAAAATCCATAATCCCACTATGTTATCCAAACGGTTCAGATTTTATAGGGATTTTGTCTCACAGATTTTTAGAATCTCAAAACCAATAAAACTGTTGTGATTTTAGATAGATAGCTTGATTGGTTTCGAACTGCTCACAGCCTGTGCTGTAAGATGGCAGATATTTCTTGCTGTAAGATGGCAGATATTTCTGCTTGATATGTGAGCAGCCAGTTCAGATAGAAGAAATTCTCCGGGGGGTTTTCCCCCTCGCTTCTTCCTTGTGCCATTCCAATTCACTCCAGTTAAGTTTAAAAAAATCACTGCAATTAATTAAAACCAAAGAGAAGCGGCATCCTACCACAAGGATCAGTGTTCTTTCCCATTTGTACAATAATAGTATATGATGAGTCAATGTTACAATACCAAGCGAACAAAAATCGAACAACCTTTTTTTTCCTGTACAGACTAAAGAGCTACGCCTGACATGTCTGCAAATCACCCCATTACATCATACCGACGAAGGAAAAAAAATCTATGGACAGCTCTACTTACAAACAACCCATTTACATGTACAGGCACACAGTCCGGGATGCAACTCTATCAGCACATTGTCACACAAATCGTGCTTCCTACAAGAACAAACAAGAAAACTCGCCCATATTCCTGAATGACGCATACTGACATTCAGAATGTAGCCGATTCTCATCAAAATGCACACTCTAAGAGTCTAAGGTCTGAATCTCAGCGACAGAATAGTTCTTCCTTTCATCAGCCTGCATCTTCGTGTAAAACCTGGAAGATTTGTAAAACTGTTCCATGGAGGCAATTAAAACCCAACCGTGGAGCATGAGGCTATCCGGGTCTGCAAAACCAAGCCTGTTGCAGTAGTATTACTCAACTCTCGACAATTGTCCCTTTCCAAAAAGACTCACACCAAGCGATGAAGTTTCCTGGCAAAATTGATAGCAAACATGGAAATAATGGTCTAATCCATCCATAGAATGTGCTATCAAAGCTGCCCACAGTATTTGCCCGGCTCTGCATTCTAGTTCTCACGGGCACCAACCTTAACAGTGGACTTCTGAATGTTATCACCTTCACTGCAAGCTTTGCCGTTAGGAACGACCAGAAGTTGCGGGACATCCAGGCCATCGTTCCTTCCAGAGCTACTGCTGCTGCCAGAACCTTCAGTACCATCCTTCTCGAATTTCCCTCCTCTGACAGTCTCCTTCCTCAAGTCTGGGAAGTTCAACATAAGCGACTCAGCAGCATGTTGAGCATCAGGGACACTGGTGGTTCGTCTGTGTGTTTTTGCCCTTGGGGTAGATGGGCAGGTCCTAGAATCCTTTGTCGAAGGCACATTTGGATCATAAGGATGCGCAGCTAGATAAGATAGTGCAGTGACAACATCTCCTATCAGTGGCCGAGATGCTGCTTGCTCCTGCAAACACATAGCTGCAACAGCTAAAGCCTGGTACAAACCCCTTTTGGGGTACCGACCTTGCAGTGATGGATCAGCAAGTTGGCAGAACTTCCTTCGGTCTCTGAAAAGTGGACGAGCCTGCAAATTTTGTAGACATCAGACACTTGGGACATGTGAAGAAATAACAGATCATTCCCCTCCCTAAACCAAATGAATGGAATAACTTGGTGCAGGTAAACCTACCCATGCAACAAGATTTTGCTCCCCTGAAGGCTGGGTGTGATCGATTGCTTTGCGGCCTGTAATAAGTTCAAGGAACACAACACCAAAGCTGTAAACATCAGACTTTAATGTCAACTGTCCTGTCATGGCATATTCAGGAGCGCAATATCCATATGTTCCCATAACTCGTGTTGATACATGAGTTTTGTCACCAACTGGACCAAGTTTTGCGAGCCCAAAATCAGACAGCTTAGGGTAGTAGTCTTCACCCAGAAGAATATTTGATGATTTGAAATCTCTGTATATGACAGGTGGATTTGCCTTATCATGAAGATACTCCAGACCCTTCGCTGCACCAGCAGCAATCTTCATCCTTGTATTCCAGTCAAGAGGTTCCTTATCTGGTGGGCCTACCAAGAAATTGATGTCATGAGTTACAAAAGAAGAAATATGGATGACAGTGTCTAAGATATTGCTATGGATGGTGTTAGCAGCAAGGATGTCGTCAGCAGTAACAAAACATTGATGGTAGAGAATACTGTAGCTAGGATCTTTCACGTTTGAATTTAGCAACTTACAAATCATTTTAAAAAAAATAACTGAAGTCAAGAGAAAAATTAGCATTTTGGATCCTAGGGAAATCTTCAATTCATGATCTATTTAGTAATTGCTATAATATAGTGCAACTTACCAAACAGATGATTTTCTAGTGATCCCAACAACATATATTCGTAAACTAGGAGGCGCTGGTCACCATCTGCGCAATAGCCAATTAATCTGACCAGATTAGGATGGTGCAAGAGACTTAGCATGAGAACCTCCACAAGAAATTCACGATTTCCTTGAAAACCGTTTCTATCAAGTTGCTTCACAGCAATGACCTGGGCAAGATTGAAGATGAAAAATGAAGGTGTCAGGCAGACAACCGATTAGAACAGTCAGGGGACTTCTCCCTTTCTTCTTGAAAAAATAATGAGAGTTATATCCAAATTTGCAGTGTACAGAAATTAAAACACAATTAGCAAATGCTAGCAAACCTGTCCATTTTCCATGCGTCCTTTATACACACGACCAAAGCCACCTTCTCCCAATAGGCAATCTTTCCTGAAATTCTTGGTAGCGATAGCCAACTCCCGGAAAGTGAAAATCTGTGCTGGGCCATGTGCAGTGTTTCCTCCTCTGCGAACAGGTACAGAATCTTCCTTCCTGGAGCCCGAAGCACGTGAATTTGATCGAACTGATTCATTGGAAAGATAAAAGTTAGCGTATAAATCCTCACTAATGATGCTTATGCTTTCATCAATACAGATAAATCATACAGCTCAGACATACAGAAAAATAGGGACAAAGAAATGGATCATGATGCTAATTGCGAGATTCCTAGACCTATCACAACATTCAACAATCTCTTATTGGTTACTCCACTGTTGCATCCACGCATTCTGTGTGGTATTAACACACTGTATAGTGAAGTTGGTGGAGAAGGCATGGTACTACTACAGGGTTGCACCCACACATTCAGTGTGGTATTAATGTGGTATTACTAACTAACATAATTCCAATTATCCTACCTAGCTTTCAAATTGATAAATACTTCAACCAGACAAAAAATTATTGTAAATAAAGATATGTATGGTTAGAGATAATTGGAGATTTGGAGATGGAAACAAACTCTAGAATTCTTTCCAACAGAAATGTCAGGCAGCTCACATCAACATAAGTCTGTTGCCTTATGCCTTGATTTGTAATATGAGTAGCCATGTGTATGATAAAAACTTGAAAGCTAATAATATAATCACTTATAGGAATTTGACTAGCATCTTCATTACTTCTGCATTTCAATGCGACTGAGAAAAATTAACCCAAGTGGACCATCATGTGCTCTTGGCATTAAAAACTTCCATCAATTTTTCTGACAGTTATTTAATGTAAGAGATATCTCGGTCTGCAGATGGGTAACAAAATGCAGCAGCCACACAACAAACAAATGAACAATAGCTTGCCTTGAAATCAAGGATAAGATTTGCAAGTCCAGCAACTAAGAACTAAACTTTGACACGTGTGTGGAACTCGTCACTAGGGCTGGACAAAATACTCGTGGCTCGCCTACTCACTTGACTCATGGTCGGCTCAGCTCGGCTCGACTCGTTTTAACTTTTTCACGAGTTGAGCTGGAAGTCTAGCTCGCTATTTTAACGAGCCAGCTCGAGCCAGCTCGTGAGCTGCTCACGAGCTGAAACGAGCTGAGGCCTATCAACCCACGACCATGAATCCAGAAGATGATGATGCTGACCTAGAAGTATACACTATTATATTGGTATGTGATCCTTATTTTCAGCTGTTTCATATGAATTTTGATTTTATAATTGTTGTGGTACTTAAATGTTGATTTTATGGATTGTTTTCTAGGGAGAAGATGATGATGCCGATATGGAATCTAAGTGGACTTTTCTAAGAAGAGTGGCAGGCAACTAGTTGACTTGGGTAGAGGCAATAAAAGGAGACTTGAAAGGATGAAATGGACCAAAGACTTAATAGATTGGAGTGGTTGACAACTATTCATGAACCTTGATATTATTAATCATGTTTCAACTTAGCCTACCCCAAATTTGGGACTTAAACGCTTTGTTGTTGAATTAATGTAGCATAAGGTGATGATATAAACATGAATCCTATTTTTCCTAAGTTTGTGGTGGTAAGCTAAACTAGTTAGTATGCTTGAAAGCGCATGATCATAAATGGACCAGCTGCCCCTCTAGCATGGTTGATACTTTTAAAGAACGACCTATATGTATTAATCATGTATGGTTCCATATCCAGCCCCACCTTCTAAGATTAATGTCCATAAACATTATAAACATGTGTGCCATATTTTTTTTTATTAGCTGAAGCTAAGCGAGAAGCTCAAGAAAATTGACACAGCCATATTCAGCCAGACAACAGCCCGCTCGTTAGCCAGAACACATGGATCATTGGTGTTTGGTTTCGATATCGAGACAGAATTCCTTCCACCAAACTATTGAAGAGTGAACCGGACTTGAAGCAAGCTCAAAGCAAGAAAATTGACACAGCCATATTCAGCCAGACAACACGTGTACAGAACACATGGATCATTGGTGTTTGGTTTGCTCGAGACAGAATTCCTTAAACGAAACTATTGTAACTGCAGGCTTCGCCACGGAAATTTCCTTCCCTTCCACTCCACCTCTTGAGAAAAAGTCAAAAGTCAAATTTATAAGAAGTGGTGCTTTTATGTCCCCATCACCACTATCTGAGCAAACAATGGAAGTAACATAGTAACATTCGCATATGTAAAGCCATGAATTACTTATAACGATCAATTAACAATCGTACTAATATTCTGCTAGCAAAATTGTCCATAAAATAAAATAAAATAAAATAAAATAAAATAAGCAATACACAACTAATGCAGTGAATCCTTGCTGCTAAGATCGATAAATCAAAACCGGGAGAAGCAACTATTACACTCAATTCCTTGTTTACTTCGTTGATCAACAGCTCCAGTTGCGTATTACTAGTAAGCAGCTACACCTCTGCTGCAAACAAAAAGCAAAAATCCAGCCTTTATCCCTCCCATAAAAAAAATCCATCCTTCGTCGCACACAACCACGTGCCTAGAGCAGCGAATCAGTCACCGCGAGTTGCAAACATCCGTAGTTGACCGAACAGAGCAAGAAGCGGGATCACAACCAACATCGGGCAAGCGCGCAGCACAAAACACGGGTTTTACCTGGTGCTGCCTTCGCCGCAGGCCGGGGGGTCGGCGAGAGCGCCGCCAAGCTCTTGGCCTCCTTCCCCGACGAACCGGAGCACGGTAAGCAGCTCATATCCACGTTCCTGAACACAGACACACAGTTCCTGCGAATGCCAGCCAATCCGCCAAGAAATCCAGATCAAGACTCGTCCTTTCCCCTCCACCGGCCGATCTCTCCCGTGAAACCAGCTGAATTTGGGGAGATTTCCAGCCGCCCCGCCGAGAGAGAGAGAGAAAGGGGGAGGGGAAGTCAATACTGGGGAAGCGTAATAAACAAAAGCGGGACTTTGGGCTGGTGGCGGAGGTCCAAACTATTGGTTGGCAAATTTGGGTGCTTCAGAGTGTCTCGACGAACCGATATGGCCACCTAAATTTAAAATAGGCAGCAATAGTCTAAAATTAGTCTTTAACAGAGTATATATACGAGAGATCTATTAGTTCTGTTCGTTTTTTTATAATTTTTCAGTCGGAACAATATTTTCTCTTACTAGTTACAACAAATCAGTCGGAACAGTGTTTCAGCTTGTTTTTTGAGCGAAGCGAACATGCCATTTTAGGTTGCCTGAGAGGCACAACTCAAATATGGGCATCCTCTCTCCTGAAAACTCATTTACAGAAAAGATTCTCTTTTAGGTCTGGTTATTGGAGAAGATGCCGAATAGGTATTGAACATTTTATCTGTAGCGCTATTGAAAGGACGAATGAGTCTTGTATTTTGGATGTTATCGTTGGAGATAGCCTTTGTAGCGGGGTTGAAATGTTCCATGGGGAAAGAATTTAGGTATTTCGTAGCCCCAGTTGAGTTGAGGTGGTTGCGTTGTCAATCAAAGGTGTTGGGCTCGACAAAACAACTGTAATTAGTACAAAGATATATATCTGCCTTTTTTTTCTTTCCTAATAACAGTACCTCACTTTTCTATTTTGCCTCTTTATAGATATTTTGTACTACTTTGTTCCAAATTATAGTTCGTTTGCCTTTTTTGACTCTAAATTTGACCGCTTGTCTTATTCAAAAAAATTTATGCCAACATAGTCAAATTTAAGTCATTCTTGAAGAACTTTTGTTAATAAAGCAAGCCACAAAAAAAGAAATGATATTTTACACAAATTTTTAAATAAGACAAGTGATCAAACTTGAGATAAAAAAGTCCAACGAACTATAATTTGAAACATATTTAGTACTACTGTATATGTTTATTGAGCAAATACTTTAAGGATTTGTTTGGTTAATCCCCAATCTAAAGAGGTTGAGAAGATGATTTTATAGGAGAAATTTAGTAATTTTATTCTAAAAAGGAGATGACATTAGTAACCATATGCATGTTGCTCTGAATAATATAAAGTTCATATCGTCTTTGGATTGGGTTGTGTTCTCTCCCTTTCCTTTTTTTTACAAAATATCAACCTAAATTAAAGTAAACGAGGCTGACATGAACAAGATTATGCTCAAACACTATTTCCTCTGGATCATTTATGTGGTACGACTGCAGAGTTGGTTTTCGATCAGTTTGAAAATGTCGATGTCACATTGTCACTCTTTCTTTTTGTTTATTAACTGTGATAGGCATGTGTGATTTAGGACACATGCAAAAAGGTCAAACTAACGTGTTCGTATATGGTTGTTTGATTAAGTTTGGTATATAGTGTTCTATCTATATCGATGAGTCTGAAGCCCAAAAAGCATGGTGAAGTGGAGCCGTGCTAAACGGGGCCTAAGTTTGGTATATAGTGTTCTATCTATATCGATGGGCTATGCGTACATGCAGATGCTACGTATGTATTCTCTGTTGTATAATAGGGGAGCACTATTATTGGAAATTAAATAATGGGAACACAGGTGGCCACTATATCGACTCTATTAAGAACTTTAAGATCCTAGTTTCAAAAGAAAAAAAAAACTTAAGATCCTTGGGTCAATCTGGTTTTGTATATTACGTGCTCGCATCGGTTAATTTAGCTTTTCTGAGTATTTGTGATGTATTTAGAAACACGCTATGTCTACCTATATATATTTTTTGGATTTGCTGCTCGGTTAACTTTTCTATTTTAAACCAAGATCGTATAAAATGATGTGAGATTTCTCGATTTTTACACTATTGGAACCATAAAGCGAATAAAGCGAGAAGTTGGTTTGCAAGGAGCTTATGGGCCTTCTTTCTTATCCCACACTTTCTCTTTCTCACCGCACTTCATTTTCCATGAGGGTGTGCCTTCCTCCTCGCCATTCTTGCCTCCCAGAAGCTTCGCCCCATCACTTCTCCTCCGCCTCTGGCCATCGCCCTCCCTTCTGCCTGACCTCCCCCGCGCTGTCGCTCTCGAGCTCTCTTCCATATATGTCGTCGCCCTCTCATCCGCCTCTGCCTCCCCATGGAGTGGCGCCTTCTAGCCATATGTTGCCTCCTCGTCAGGTCCACCAAGGAGCATCACCCGTTAATTCCAGTGGATGAGCTCCTGTAACCCCACTCCAGACGCTCCCTCTTCCCGGGTAAAAACTACTCCGTATTGTATATCGTATAAAAACTAAAAAAGTGAAAATGACTTTAAATTTGGAACCAAGCGAAGTGCGTAACTAGCTAGCTAGATCATCTGTGTAAAGTAGGGCATGCTTGGAACTCTTACCAGGTTCGCCTTGCCTCGCCAAAATAGCCTCGCTTTGCGCTCGGTTTGATGGTTTAGATCCTGGATTCGATTACGACAAGGTTGCTCCTAGTGCCGAGGACTTCATATTATATTTAGGTTGTCAAGAACATACTAATTCAAATAAGCTAACATTGATGGGATTCTAGGCACAGCGCTATACTCTTGGAAGAGATGAGCGCGAGCAAATAAACCTTGCCCGCACAGGAGAGCTAATTTGCCTCGCCCACACGAGCAAGGATTTCCTTGTCGACGACTAGTCTTGCTTGGCGATGTGAAACAGTATCTAGCAAAAACAACTAAGCACGCCCGTAGCAGGCCGTAATGTGGTGACGCCTGTGATGCTGAAGAGGTCTGAGGCCGCCTTTCGGGATGTGACATGACCAGCTAGGCGAGAGCTTCCAGACTTCCAGTAGAGTAGATAGCCGGCCATCCGTCGTCCCTTACATTGGAAGGCTCTGACTATAGGAATGGTGGAGCAGGTCGGGCAACCACTAGTGTTTGGCTGGCTCGGTCTCGATCATGTGCCTGCCCTGCCCCTGCCGGCTGCCTCCCAGGATCATCACATCTTGCATGCAGGTGCAGGGGCCCGCGGGATATGCTCAGCGGCTGATGACCTGCTAATCACGACGCCATGATTACTACGTCCTCCTAGCTACTATACTATACGTAGTTTTCATAATTATTCGTTATACTTTATACGTATATATACCGGCCGGCCAGTAGCTAGCTAGCTTGGAACCCTGATGTACACTTGTACTTGTCTGCTGGATATATATATATATATATATATATATATATATATATATATATATATATATAGATGGATGGTTGGAGAAGAGAGTTAATAATTGCCGCAGTGCATGCATCATGCATGTCGTTCGTTCCATGCGCGATCGAAATAAAATAAAAAGCCCACACAGAGCAGTTGTGTGCTTTCGTTTGGCATCGGAACACGCGTACGGTTAGTAATATCGGTGCGCGCGACCGACGACGTGTAACACGTCAGTGTCGTCGCGAGTTTTACACTAGTGACTCTGTGAGTACTTGATAACTGACTTGGTAGCGGTCGTTGTCGTCGCTCTCGAACGTAACCTCGAGCGAGTACATGCAATCCGATACATGGGCCAAAAGCGAGGCCCTACTAGTCCAAGCACCAGCGCGCGCTGGCAGGACCCGCAGCCTACTCAACCCGCCAGCTCAGCCCAGACCAAGCCCACAGAGAGATCCGCGGTCCAGTTCAGTCCAGTCCACCATGTGCTGCGGAAGGAGCCTCTTGGCGTCGCCTCGCCTCGTTCGAGTCAGCCCACTGACCGCACCGCTCCCGCAACGCAAAGCACACGCGGCCCCCCGCGCCCCGGCGGCCATGTCGTCCTCGCAGTCGCCGGAGCTCTGCACGCCGGGGACGCCCTCCCCGGTCCTCAGCGTCCGCATCGTCTCGCTCGACTACTACATGGCGCCGCCCCTCCCGGGCTTCGGCTTCTCCCGCAGCCCCTTCCACGGTGCGCTCCCCCTTCCCTCACCGCCCCCCACCCTTCCTCTCCTTCCTCCTCCGTCGGCGACCTGCCTCGCGCTGAATTTCACTCGCTGCGTGCCTATCCCGCAGGAGAGGAGGTGCCGGTGGTCAGGATCTACGGCTCCACCCCCGCGGGCCAGAAGGCTTGCCTTCACATCCACCGGGTGCGTAACTGCGTACCACCCAGCTTCTTCTCTCCCAACGTCCTGTCTCTGTCTGCGCTTTTTTTTGTTGCCCCCGAGCCTTTCGGTGCTCGTCTTCCATCGCGGGGCATGTGTGGCACGGTTCGGGCGTGTGATTCCCCTGTCTGGATTTGAATTTGAAAATTTGGAGGGAACTTGCTCTCTGTACCGACCGCACCAAACTGGACTGCCTAGGATGCTGTTGCTTGGGTCCATCAGTAGCCCGTGGTCATTCCATTGTTGATTTAGGTTGGTGGCTTCTTCGTTACCTGTACTAACTTAAGAATTCCAGCTCAATGCCCTTGCATTCCCTGCTAACTTTTTCACTGAATGGCCGGCCTGGGCTGAAATTCAGGAATAACTTCAGTTTTGTTCTCCCAAGTTCATGTGCATGGAGGCATGGAGTAGTTTCTTTATATTTGACGATTACTGTATGTTGCTATTCTCCTTTGCAATCAGATTTTCCTGACTGTCAGACGATGATCTGTTCTCACCTCTAGTATTTTGAATCCCTAATGTGTGAAGTATATATACATATACTTCAGCTGTCCACCTACAGTTTCCCTATGATTTCATCAGTGCCTGATTGTTTCAACTAGTTTGTAAATATCTACTCTCAGTTTGTAAATATCTACTCTCTCTTTGGTGTTCAGGTGCTGCCATATTTTTATATACCTTGTCCAGAGGAGCTGCTCTGTAATCTAGAAAAAGGTGATTTGCAGCTTGTTACATATGCACCCTGTCGGTACAGAAAGTGACCAACTAGTGAATATTTGTAGTTTTGCTGTACGTTGCGATCGGAGGTGGCATAGCACTCAATGACACAGGATTTATACCGGTTCAGACAACGTGCCCTACGTCCAGTGTGGGTCGGTCGGTGACTTTATTCCTGAGCCCAGGTGCTCGAAGTCTGTAGTGGGGTTACAAACGAGAAGGAGAAAGGAGGGGTGTACGAGAGGCCCGGTCGGGTCCGACCGGAAGGGCCGAGGGCGACCAGAACTCCGCTATGAGCTAGGTGTTCAAGCGTGTGCTTGAGGGGTTTTTGAGCTATCGATCTAGTGAGCCTGAACTTGAAGAAGTGGACTCTCTTCGTTAGAGGGAGTGCATCCCCTTTTTATAGATAAAGGGGATGGCTTTACAGGTGAGAGGGAGAGAGTACGGATGTTTCTAAGCCTTGTTGTCCACGCCGATGAGGGTAGTGATGATGGTAGGCACCCACAATACTGTTGATGTCACTGTAGAATGTCAGGTGCACATGGGAGGTTGCGTTGGCTTCTTCAGGAATGGTGGATGTCGGTACCTGTAAAATACTATTTGTATGTGAGGAGCCCTACCCTGTGTACCAGGTATGGTGAACCCTGGCGCCCACTATCGATGCCCAGAGGTATGTGGGAGGCTTTTTGCCGTATGGGAGCCCAATAGCGCCTACAATACTATAGACACAAATGTCGGCGCCTACAATACTGTTTGTGTTAGGGCGGTTGAGGAGTATTGTTCCCGCAGGCGTACAGAGTATGGTCCCGGTATCGTGGTTTGACTTTGTGCACTGTCTTCTCCGTTTGCCCCTGGTCCCTTCCGAGCGGGTGTCCCCGGTCGGATGGCCCCAGTCGGTACCTGCCGTGCCAGTCGGAGAGGGGCGGCAAGCAGGCTTCCTACGGGTCCCCGGTCGGAGTCGCGGGGTCGGAGTAGGAGGCAACGTTCTGGGCCAAGCCTTTCCGATCGGAGAGACCGTCCGGAGGCGGCTGGCATCCGAAGCGAGTGCTCCGGTCGGAGAGGAGGGCCGAAGAAGTTAACGAGCGGGCGTTTTGTTCTTTCGAGCAGACCTTCTGGTCGGCGACCGGACTGTCCTTCCGGCCCATCGTGTTTTTAGATTCTTGGGCCGGCCCACGGACTACATGTTGTTCTCCTGGGCCGTGCCCTGGCGTGGAAGCCGGTCCCCGAGAGACCCCGGGTTTATGAACCCGACACACCCCTTGTGCAGATTGGAGACCGCTTATGCTTTTTAATGTTTTCATGCCACTTGATATATTATTTCTTGTTGTATTCTACGTGCTGTTTATAAATTTATTAGATAGGGTACATGAATCTTGCGATTGTATCCATTTGCATGCAGATTCTTACTGAGAGTTTCTTATGGCCTAGTCATGAGATTTTAAGTAGTGTTTTTTTTATAATTTTAGTTAATAAGCATGATTTGAAATTACTTATTTTGATGTCTTAACTTATCACATATTTAGGTGTCTCATAGGTAGACTAAACCTTACTATTAACTGACCTGGTTGCATGTAACACACCTGCTAAATGCTTACTGGGAAAAAGCAACCATGTCTAGCAATCAAGGAGCTCGACATTTGTCCTATCAACAGCATACATGTTAATTCTCCTGTGCTGGACCTTGTCGGAGAGTGCCATTCTTGACTAGTTGAATTAATACATCCTTTTCCTCTATTCTTTAGGTGAGTCATATATAACTGGTCTCTTGAGTGACCTTGAGAAAGCTTTGCAGGTATTCTAGAGTCCACTTGTTTATATGTTGTGTACTTTCTCTTTTTTGTGTGCATCATTGTTTTATTGCAGGCTTGCGGACCATCAAAACGGAAGCATGTGCATGGATGTAACCTTGTTAGAGCAAAGAAGTTGTACGGTTACCATTCGTCCGAGGAGCTTTTTATGAAGATCTATCTGTATCCACTGTTTACTCATTTTCATAAACCTAACATTGCTTCTACAAATGTGTATACTAGTCAACATTACTTGTCACATCTTTTTCTATCCCGTATCAAGGGGATTTAGAAATTTTGAATATAGCTTGCTCCACCATTTCATTACCAAACAAATCAACAAAAAATGTGCCAGATTAGAGTTAATGCTTTGGTCATCTGGTCCACCTCTTGAATTGTAATAAGTGCCTTGCTTATCCAGACCAAAATGGTGTCACATAAATCCTCTATTGCTGATGTAAGTTTGGGGGTATCATGGCTGCAGCCTTATAAAGTAGTGTTTTGATTATAAAACTTCATTATGCAATTGACTTCCTTGATTTAGTCTCTAGATATTACCCTCATGAAGTTTCTCGAGCTGCTTCCCTTGTGTTGGTAAGTTGTAATGTTGGAAAATTCATTTGTCTTTGGAGACCTAAATAAGTCCAAAGCGAATGGATTTGTGTATCATTTTTCTTATTTCTTTTTAGAAAGTACTTGCTTTTGCTATTTAGTACTCCCTCCATTCCACATTATAAGACGTTTTGACTTTTTTTAGATACGTAGCTTTTGCTATATACTTAGATATACATTATGTCTAGATACATAGTAAAAATAATGTATCTAGAAAAACCAAATAATTTGGAATGGAGGGAGTATTTGCTTAAGGAGGCATATGTGAACCATCTTTACATATTATTGTTCTTTCCACCTCATTGGATCTTTTCCCATTAATTATGCACTAGCAGTTACACCACTTGTCCACTTTAAGGGCAGTAGTGACTAGTGGAACTTGTATCTTTGTGGTGAACAATCTCGTGTCACTGGTCTTCGCTATTTGACCTGAAAGCATGCCCTTAGTTTGTACCTATATTTTGTGTGGTGTGAACCCATGAGTTTGTTAACCTTTCTTGGTATGAATCCGTCAATTCTGTTCTCCAACAATCTCATACTTGGCTACTGTGGTGTATGCTAGCATGGATGACAATATTTTCCTCTTGTTCAAAACTGTTGGCTAATTATTAGTGGAGCATGCTAGTGTTTTTCTGTGCCCTTCAATGGAAAATCTTATTGTGAAAAAGTTTTGAAATTCTCTTTCATGTTCTGATTTAAAGCTATTTGATTTCAGAGTGGTGCTGTTTCTAATAAAGCATTTCAGCCTTATGAATCTCACATTCCATATCTTCTTCACTTTTTGGTAAGCACAATGCTTTTTCTTGTCATAGTGCGTGACATGGTGCTACAAGTTTGCTTATTTAACGGTTATTTCTGTTGAATTTATGTTTTAGGTTGACTACAACTTGTATGGAATGGGACATATACATGTCAAAGACTTCAAGTTTCGTCCTCCATTGCCAGATGATTTTCATCCTAAGTCATGTCTTTGCAGGAAGGTGGATTGTTTTATTGCATTAGAGCTCAGATATACTATACCTCCGTCTTGAAAAGAATGCAGTTCTAGTTCTAAACTTTGGTCAAGTTTATCAAAGAGTAATATATATTATGAAAAATATTCCATGACAAATCTAATGATACTTATTTGGTATAATAAATATTGAAGACTCATCTTCTACTCCGGATGGGTCGTTCTTCCTGCTAGCAGTTTTTCGGCGCTACCTCTTCCGTTTAACTGAAGACTCTGTTGCCATGGCTCTTCACTGCTGCTTGGGTGGTTCTCCTGCTGGCTTCCATGTTGTATTCGAAAGTGATCGTCATTTTCGCTTCTCAGTTAGCAATAAGCAAGTTGGTTTTCTGATTCGATCTCTCAAGCGAATCACCATAGAGCAGTTTGATGTTTATTTCCATCTATGGCACGATGGTGGTGCCAATTGGGTGAAAGAAAAAATCAAGTGGCAGAAAGAAGAAGAGAACAGCTGGACCATCCAGACAAATCGCAAGAACAAGCGGAATTCTGCTCGCAAGAAGGTTTCATTTCATCACAAGCTCGTCCAAGACTCACCAATCACCAAATCTCAGCCAAGAGAGCTCAACTCGGTAATCAAGATTGGTAGTTTTTATTGCCCTTTTGATCCTATAGATTCCTCCTTAGTTCGGGATTTCACTGAGGATTCTCTTCCTTTGGACCGGGAGTTTGGTACTGATTCTTCTCAATTCAACAAAGATTTTCACAAAGGGCCTCGAAGTTCTTCAGGTAGCAACAGAGATGTTCCAGTGTACTCTGTTTTTCAAAAACTCAAAAGAGATCTTCGCATTGATGAGAATGGTGGTCGTTCCAAATGCCCCATGCAGTATAAAGAAGCCATTAATGGGAATGCCCCCCAAGGTGATCGCTTTATCTTCCCCTCTAATGCTTCCCGCTGTTGCTTTAGATGCCTAAGTCCAGGGCACTTCGTCAGAGATTGTTTTAGTGATATTCGCTGTATCTACTGCTTTAACTATGGTCACAAGGCCCGAGTCTGTGTTAAACGGCGGGTTGCCGCAAAACTTAAATGGGTTTCAAGGTCCAGTAAGCCGCCCTCGTTCATGGAGCCAAGCCACACTCTTGCTGAACCCTCCATCCAATGGGTGCATGGGCCCAATGCTCCGACTGTTGCTTCAACTTCTACCGTGCACTCCTCAAATACGAAAACTCCTCCCTGACACCCCCTTAATCAAAGCCAACACCAGGCCCCCACCCACTCTTTTCTCGGCTCTATGCCCAGCTCCAAAGATCGCTCCTATGACAAACATTGCACCGGTGAGGAACCCCCCGCACACAATGGTAATCTTCATCCCTTTGAGGGACCCATATCTGCCAGGAGAAGTTCAAGCAGGTGGTGGAAATGGCTGACTGTGTGATGGATAATTTGGTGGCTGCTCATCAGATCCAGAAAGACATGAATCAGGATCGAGAACTCGGGGTGTTTCACCAAGTTGATTCCTTCTTCACCAATTGTAGGAGGAATACAGCTGGTCAAGGCTCTATCGAACAATTGAAGTAGTACAAAATTTGAACCTCAACACCAATGCTCAGCTCTGGAAGTCGACCCAATCCAAAATGCTCTTATCCCACACACATGGACAGACCTATGATAACCCAATGAGAGACTCAGAGAGACAGAGATCGAGAAATGCTATAACCAATTTTCTAGTTAAAAGCCCAAACGGTGATCAACAATCAATCAAAAGGGTGCGGTGTCTCAAGTTTTGGTGGAAGCGGTTCAATCCCAAGCTCTTTGATCCAGATTGATCTTTCTCGCTGGGAATTAATTCTTTCAACATTGGTATCAATATTAATGAGCAGAATCACACCACCACCCCAAGTGTTGGTGCTTGTGTCACTCAGATCCTGCCAGCTCCTGAAGACCACCAACCAACTCTAAAGATAGCAACTCAGCTAGTAGAGCTTTCCCCTGCAAGAAATGCCCCTGTCACAAAAGTTTACTACAGGAAAAGACTCAAGAACAAAGCCATAGAATCTGAAATTCAGCTAAGACAGAACAAGTTTTCCTGCACCTCCCTCAAGATTATGCTCTCATAACTCATGATGTCTGATTGATCCATTGCTACCGGTAGTGGGAATGGAGATGAAAGTTTAAGCAAAGCCACAAAGAAAAGAAAGCTCAAGACTCCTGCCTCAACTGAAGTTTCTTAGGAGGAGCCCAAGACCGAAAGTTGCTCACGATGGACATATGCATAGAGTTGTCCCCACTACATGCCTAGAAAGACTAACAAGAACAAGAGCAAGGCAAGAGGCAAGAAGGTGGCCCCTCAATCGACTTGTTGGATAATCTCTCTCCCCACCAAATTGCTTTGCCTCCGATTTTCCGGGACTCTCTGCTGTTCTTTAATGCAATGAGGAGGGGACCTTATTTCCTGAAATTTCTGTGCCTGATATACAGAGAATAGCTACAGAAAGGTGTTGCATTCACCCCTCAGAGGTGACGACGGAACTGCTTTTGGCTACCAGAACCGATGATGTTGCACCGGATGGGAGCAGCACAAGGGGGACCCAATGGATAGTCTGCTTATCTACTTTTGTTTTGTCAAGGATTGCCTTGCAACATCCTGCAATAATGGAACGTTGGATTGGTTTTATGGTCAGAATACCATGAGAAGTGCTATCTTCTCTATTGTTGTCTTCGGATTTTGTTTGATTAAGACTTGTGGTAAAAAAAACCAGTTTCTCTGTGGGCATCTTTGCTTCCCTTCTGTTGCTTGTGGTGCTGGTTTGGCTTGCTGTTGGGGTTTTGCATCCATTGGAGAGCAACTGTTTGAGTGCTGGTTTTGGATTTTCTCTGATTGGGTTTAATCAGAGTTCCTGGAGGCAATCTCAACACATTGCTTATGGATACAAGGTCCAACAGTAACAATAGTGGTTCCAGCAGAAATTGGAACATCTTGAACTGGAACATCAGAGGAATAAACTCTGAAGATAAATGCAATGCCATCAGAGAAAAGATAGATGAGAGTGATTGTGCCATTTTCTGCATCCAAGAAACAAAAAGAGAACAGTTTGATCATTCCTTCATTAGAAAACTAGCTCCAAAACGCTTCAACAAATTTGTTTTTTCCTCTTCTGAGGGTGCTTCTGGGGGAATTCTGATGGGATGGAATAGTGTTATTTTCACAGGAGAGGTAATCCAAATAAACAAATTCACAGTAACAGTCAAATTCACCTCTTCTCACAATAGACAAACCTGGACATTATCGTCCGTATACGGCCCTTGCCAAGGCCCAGAAAGGGATAATTTTGTGCACTGGCTCAACAATCTTGACATCAATGCAGAGGAGAATTGGATGTTTGCTGGGGATTTCAACTTCTACAGATCTATATCTGATAGAAATAGAGATGGTGCTAATATGAATGACATGATGATCTTCAATGAAATCATAAGTAACTTGGGTATGCTTGAGATCCCCCTCAAAGGAAGAAACTTTACATGGAGCAAATGCAAAGTGCTCCCCTCCTTGAGCAAATAGACTGGGTGTTCACAACCTCCAGCTGGACAAGTGACTTCCCTAATACTTTGCTTCTTCCAATGGCTAGACCCACCTCTGACCACATTCCTTGCAAGATTCAAATTGGGACTTCTATTCCCAAAGCTCATGTCTTCAGGTTTGAAAATTTCTGGGTAGAGCATCCTAGCTTCTTTGATCTGATAAATTCGGTCTGGAATTCCAATGTCTCAGCAACTAATAGTGCTACTAGAGTCATTGCCAAATTCAAACTTTTAAGGGCTGCCCTGAAAAAGTGGAGCAAAGGTCTTTCTAACCTCAGTTTCCTTATAAAAAACTACAATTCTACACTGGAGATCCTAGATACACTAGAAGAACAAAGGCCTCTTTTTCTTCAAGAATTCAATTTTAGGAAGATTTTGAAGAAACACATCCTCAAGCTCCTTAAGCACCAAAAAGATTATTGGAAGAAAAGATACACTATTAGATGGACTAAATTTGGAGATGAAAGTACAAAATTCTTTCATCTTCCGCAACCAAGAAAGATACAGGATAAATACCATCACTTCCCTTGAAATCGAAGATGAAAGATCGTGTGTGATCACAAGTGAAAAAGCTGCGCCTGTTTCTTGAGGAATACAAACAAAGAATGGGGTGCTCTACTAGTCCCGACATGCAATACAACTTAAGTCAATGGTTCAGGTCCAATAGCAACCTACGGCAGCCTATCCAAACCCTTCACAATTGAGGAGATTAATAATATAGTCAAACAAATGCCTCGCCGATAAAGCACCAGCCCAGATGGTTTTAATGGATACTTCATCAAAAGTTGCTAGGAAACAATTAAAGGAGATTTTTCTGACCTCCGCTTTGACTTCTTCAATGGAACCCTGACTCTGATTCCCAAGACAAACAACCCTGTCTCAGTAAATGATTTTAGGCCCATCTCACTTCTAAACTGTGTCCTCAAAATTATCACAAAGCTCCTAGCCAACAGGCTCCAAGGCAAGATCACATCACTCATTCATACCAACCAGTATGGCTTCATCAAATCTAGGACAATACAGGACTGCTTGGCATGGACCTATGAGTATATTCATCAATGCCAACAATCCAAGAAAGAAATCATTATTCTCAAGCTTGATTTCACAAAAGCTTTTGATACTATTGAACATAATATCATTATTCAAATGATGAAACAGCTAGACTTTGATGATACTTGGTGTCAATGTTTTTTGATCGGCTTATCGTTCCTAATCGGTCTGGTACCGATTAGGACGATCAGGACGATTAATTGACCTCTGATCGGTCTAATCGTCCAGCATATAGCAGGGCTATATAAGTATATATCATATATGTATGGTATATATATAATATACCATATACTATATATTTATATAGTAGACATCGAGCATATTTCTAGTTAGTTGGTTACTTATCTATGAGATCTGACTCCATATTCTTGTCCCAAATTACTCCATATATTCTTTGATTTTTCTGCAGGAATAATAGATAACTTGAGTAAGTAGATGTAAAAGAATAGTGTGTGATGACGACAAGATTACAAAGAAAGACATACTCAATCCAGAGCAGTAAAAGTAGGAATTAAGAAAACTAGCATAGTCCCATACTTACTTAATATAGTACAAGTAATTTGAGTACATACTACAAACTAAATAATTAAACACTGCAAACAACATTCAGAGTTTTTAAGATAACACTAGCTGCCATTCAATCAGCATTCAGCAGCCATCTAAATCTAAATAAGCAAATCATCATCCATTGCAAGCTGCCGCCTTCGATTTTCATCTACGCAAGTTCAGCAAAGAGCCAAAGAAACAAAGCATCAAGATTTGAGCATAGTGCAGAGGAAAGGAGATGACAGAAATGACCGAACAAAGCCGATTTAATGACTCACCTTCAGAGGAGGAGCTCATCTTCGTGCTCCTCTGGACTGCAGACTGCAGTGGGGAAGAGAATAGGCGACCCGCAGCAGAAGGGAGGAGGAAGCAAGAAGCAGCAGGGAAGATCCACGGATGGGCTGCTTGGATTGGAACTGGAAGGAGGGAGAGGGAGTGAGATGCACGCATCGGGGAAGAGATGGAGCTCACCGCACACACATGGGAGTGAGGAGTACCGAGGACTGAGGAGAGAAAGAGTGGGGGTGAGGTATATAAGAGAAACCTAATGGGCCTGGCCCAAATAAATATAGCCCAGTAAACTGAAGTAGCCCATCTGTCTATTTAGTGCTGATCGGCAAAGAGACCTAATCGGACGATTAATCGGACGATCAGGTTTCTGATCGCTCTGATCGAATCGGAGGGCCTAATCAAGTGCTAAGTACCGATAAGGACGATTAATCGCGATTAATCGGACGATCAGAAAACATTGCTTGGTGTGACTGGATCCAACGAATTCTTGATTCAGGAACCTTTCTCACAGTCAACTGGACTTCGGGTTAACTATAAAAAGTCTTGTTTGGTGCCTCTAAATCTCTCTACTGAGAAAGCTCATCAGCTGGCTGGGGTTTTTGGATGCAAACTGGAATCCCTCCCCTTCACATACCTTGGATTGCCAATGGGCACCACCAAACCGAGAGTGGAGCACTTTGGATTCATCATGAACAAAGTTGAAAGAAGACTTACAGCCACTTCAAATTTTCTTTCCCATGCTGGAAGACTAGAGCTAGTGAACTCAGTCCTGTCCTCTCTTCCTACCTATGCCATGTGCACTCTTCAGCTGCCTGTTTCAGTTATAGAGTACATTGACAGAGCAAGAAGACACTGTCTTTGGAGAGGCTCTGACAGCAATGCCAAAATGAAACCTCTGGTGACCTGGAAAAAATGTAGCAAGCCAAAAAGAAAGGGAGGGCTCGGTATCATCAATCTTAGAAGCCAAAACTCTGCTCTACTCCTTAAACACCTAGACAAATTCTACAACAGGAAAGAGATTCCTTGGGTCAAGCTTGTTTGGCATGCTCACTACTCCAATGGTGACATCCCACATGCAACTATGGATAAAGGGTCTTTTTGGTGAAAGGATATCCTGAAACTTTGTGATCTCTTCAGAGGAATCACTAATTGCAAACTCGGGGATGGATCTACTGTTCTTTTCTGGTCAGACCTTTGGAATGACAATGTCATGCAGAGCAAGTTTCCAAGACTTTTCTCTTTTGCCAAAAACAAGAAGATTTCTGTGTTGCAGTTCCTTTCAAACAACAACCTCCAGTCATAATTCCACCTTCCTCTGTCCGAACAAGCTTATCAAGAATATCAAAGAATGCAAGACTACATTCAATCTAAATCTATACAGGTTCAACAAGATACAAAAGACTCTTGGCACTATATTTGGGGAAGCAGCAGCTATACATCTTCTAAATTCTACAATTTCCCCTACAGAAATGTTCAGCCCCCTGCTCCTTTTCTGTGGATCTGGGACTCAAAATGCAGTAACAAACTTAAAGTCTTCTCCTGGCTCCTGATTATGGATAGGCTAAACACAAGGAACCTTCTTAAAAGGAAAAAGCACAAGTTGGAGGGCAATAACTATAACTGCTTTCTCTGCAATCAGAATGTTGAGGAAACTGCTTTCCACCTCTTCTTCAGCTGTCCATTCAGTCAGGCCTGCTGGCAACACTTGAACATGCACTGGAACTTTCAAAGTGATTTCTTCCAAATGATGATGCAGTCGAAACAGCAATATCAAAATCCCTTCTTTATGGAGATCTTCATCATTGCTGCCTGGCACATATGGAAGCAGCGAAATAACTTTATATTTGACAGAGGACGACCCTCTTTCTCCTCCTGGAAATGCTCCTTTTTGGATGAGGCTAGACTTCAAGCTCTTAGAATGTTTGAAGACAAGCGCTTTGTTTTCCTCCTTCGTATAGACTCCTTTTCTTAGTTCTTAGCTGACCAGTGGCTCCCTCAGCCTCTTGGGTGGTTTTTGTTTTTGTTGTTCTTTCTCCTCTGTACAGTTTCTGGCTTTTGCTTTTTAATAAAATCTCACAGTGGGGGCCTCCCCTGCTGTATTTTTCGCTCAAAAAAAATTGAGCTTTGCTATTCGACAGAGTTCTTCAATGCTTGAAGCTGATTCAAGAGTAGAAGGTCTGGCTATCACATTCTAGCACTATTGTTTGGTCATATCCTTAAGATGCGTTATAAATTTCAGTTTCACCTTCAGGTATCCTAAATGAGAAATATAAGATGTACACTTCTCTTTCTCAAACAACAGAAGATACAAAAATGGTTCAGTCACTTGTAGCAATCTGGGAGGTATGTTTTCTACTTTGTTTGTGTACATGTGCTATGAAATTGTTAATAACTGTTAAACCTCTATGTTATTATGTTCAGGAACTGGAACGATTAAGACTGTTGGAGGAAACAAAATATGCTGATCTGGGTAGACCTTTAAGGGAAGAAGTTCTTAAAGATTTTCTTCATGGTATTAAGTATGAGAGTGCCCTTTCTGTGTTGTTTTCACAAGAAGGGCCACATCACAAAGTTTCTACCATAGAAGAGTCTGAAAGGCTAGAAAGGTGCTTGAAATCACTGACTGATATTATTGGGACTGTTACATTCTCACAGGATGACTACTGTGGTAATATTGATGTTGGTAATTCTGCTGATGTACAAAATGACAAACCCAATGCAAGTCTTTGCTCAGGGTCATTAGAACAAAACATGCAGATTATATCTCCAGAGAGAAACAGTGAATATCCCGTGTCCTCATCTGTACCCCAAAGAACACTATCTCAGTTATCTGATGAAGGTGAAAAGGTAGTTCTCGCTCCTCAGATATTAGTTACATTGTCCTGGTTTGCTTCAAATCACAGGCAGTTGTTGAGTTGTTCTCTATTGTAAACAAAGGCAAAATAAATAGTATATACAGGGTCAAACCAATTTTTCCTACAAGATTATGAAGGTGACACAAATTGTTTATAAGTTGAAGATTTACACGTTTTGGTTGGTGTTCCTGGTTCTTGTTGCTCCTGCTCTGGGCAGCCCCAGAAGGGATGCACAAGAAAGGAGGAGAAAAAGAAACTACCTTTGAAACTCGAAAAAACAAAAAGTTTGGATGCTACATGATAGTATGATACAGCACTTGATTGTCATTTCTGATCCTATTATTCTAGTTGGCCTGAAATTTTCACTTTATTGAACCACGTGTCTCTTTCGTAAGCATTTACTTTTGTTATTTATGAAGTGAACTCCTTGCCTCCTTGGATTTGCTCTTTTGTAGCATGTGGATGCTCAAGCTCTTGGACTTTTAAGCTGGTTGGCCTCTTCACAAGCTGCAGAAGAACCAACAACTGATGATGAATTAATTAATGAAGTCATCCTCAGCCCTTTGTTTGCCAAGAAGTCCATTGAAGTTGCTTTGGAGTCTGCTCACTTGGATTTTGATAGCGCTTCTCAGCAGGAGTGTCAGGATATTCTTGATTCAGTTGACCCTGTCAGGGCAGCAGAAGAACTAAACATACATACATCTTACCTCGATTCTGTGAAGTCCAATTCTGCTGCTTCGCTGGGCAATACTATTCCTCAGGTTGATGGGTCATCTGATGAGAACCCAAAAGTCTCCCAGGAATATGATAGAAGTAAGGTCACTAGGAAAGCAGTTGTATCGCCAAGTTACACATCTACTAAGAATCCTTCAAAATCAGCCAGTAAGCGTGCAGGAACTGAACATCTCTGGGGTTCTTTGCCTCTTTCCAGAAAAAAGTGGAAACATGGAGATGCTGATGATTCATGCAGTGCAATGCCATCACAAAAGGACTTAAGTGCATCTAACAAGAGTACAATTGATAAGAACTATCATGATACCATAGGCAGCACTGACACGGAATCTTCTAGTTTTTTAGGTGTACATGATTCAGTTTGTCATTCTGTGAGGGATTTGATGAGGCGGAGGAGATCTTTTCGGCGTGAGCAGTTGGAATTTGGTTGTTCTGGAGCTGCAACATGCAGCATGGATAAAGAGAGTGAAACTGTGAATTCTGGGGGATTGGAATTTCACGATTTCACAAGTGATATCCCAAACTTAGCACTGACATGGATGGCATTTGTTCAGAAGCCTCCATTGAAGAATGACGCATGTTCTGGTTTGGAGAGCCCTTCAGGCTGTGAGCAACGTGGATGTAAGTACCCAACAAATCTTTATGTTATCTCGATGAATGATACTACATTAGCACATAGACGACCGAGTTCGGAACGATGATATATGTGATCGTCTAGGGGTAGCACCAATTAAAGAAAAGCTTGTCCAACATTGGTTGAGATGGTTTTGCCATGTCTAAAGGAGACCTTCAGAGGCATCAGTGCATTGTGGAGTCCTAAGTCGAGATATCAATGTGAGAAGAGGCAGAGGAAGACCGAAACTGACATGGGGGAGGCAATAAAAAAGTAAGGATGGCGACGGGTCGGGTTCGGGGCGGGTGGAGCGTCCGCGGACCCGCACCCGAAACCGGGAAAGAAACCCGAACCCTGTTTCGGGGGAAGATTTGTCCCTGCCCCCGAACCCGATGGGGGACCCGAGACTCGGGAAATTTACAGCAGGGCGGGGTCGAGGTCGCGAGTCGCGGCGGGTGGCGCGTCGGCGACGGCGCGGCTTTGGGTGAAAGCAAGGTGGAAGAAGTGCGGGCCCGTGGTGCGCCAGTGTCGCCTGGCCACCTGCCGCGGGGCGCCGGACCGCCGGCGCCGCCCTGGCCGCCTGCAGCGGTTCCGCTCGAGGGAGGTAGAGTGGAGGGCAGTGACGAAGCGGCGGAGGGCAGGGCAGGGGCGGAACGGAGCCGCGCTCGCGGTCTTGCGGACGCAGGGGAGCGGAGACGCGGAGTCGCGGACGCAAGGCCAGAGATGCGGAGTCGCAGGTGTGGATGCGGCAGGAGTGCGGAAAGGAGTCGATTGCTAGGGTTACATGTTAGTTGGGCTGGCTCAGGTGGGCTTTTTTTTAGCAGATTGCTTAAAACTTCGGGTCCCCGACGAGCACCTGCGGGGGAGACTAAAAACCCGACCCCGACCCGCCCCGTTTCAGGTCCGAAAACCCGCGGGGCGAAATTTGGACCCGCCCCCGTCGGGTGCAAAACCCATGGGTTTCGGGTCTAAACCCGCCCCGTTGCCATCCTTAATAAAAAGACATTTAAAGGGCTGTGATATACTTAGAGATCTTTATTTGGATAGGAGTGCTTAGAAAGCAGCTATTGACGTACCTGAACCGTGACTAGGGGCTCATGTTGGGTTTCAACTCTAGCCTACCCCAACTTGCTTGGGACTAAAAGGCTTTGTTGTTGTTGTTATTGTTGTTGTTGTATACCAAGAATCATTCAAGATGATTACAGTTCACCCCATTATTATAAAAAAATGCATGCATGTAAGCATGAAAAGTTTAAAGTGAAGTAGTTATTTGGGGTATATATAGAGGACACAAATTTTGCCTTGGGATATGAGATAAGCCTTGTATTGATGAACAAAATATATGCCTTGGATTCAAATGGAGGGAGGAATGCCTTGGTACCACTATTTTTATTAGAATATAAATCAACATCCTAACAAACTTATGTTTTTAGGAAAGTGCTATTCAAGATAAATCTAGGCGTATGATCTTCAAGTTTCTAAACTAAATACTTTATAAAGTATTTGTAATCAAAGTTTAAAAAATTTGACTCAAACCTTTCCAAAACGTCAAGTATTTGCAAACCAGAGGGAGCATCTTATAGCTCAAAGACTGCTATTATTTTTGTCCATATAATTTGCAGAGAAAAGTGTATTAGATTGTAATGCCTATGGTACCACTGTTATGCAACATCCTCATTGTTTCCTTGCAGGTAGAAGTCCTAGGCCTTTAGGTCTGTGGACATCTTGATAACTAATTATTGTTTCCCCTTGGGAGCAGTTTGGACTGTCAGCCAAATCCAATGGGACTCGCATTGCATATTAGCACATATGAACCTGTAGTTGTGCCCTGTGCTCCTGTTTATCAATCTATTACATCACCAGAGCCTTGTTCTACCACAGCATAATCTCTCTTGGAATGCTAGTATCCCTCATACTATAATGTCGTAAGGCACACCATAAATTTATATACATTTTGTTCTTTTCTTTTCAGCTGAAAAATTTGGAGTAGCTGATCTCCTTCCATTTTTCAATCAGAATATGGAGGAGAATAAGCAGAATGAATCATTTCAACATATGGAAAGCAATGACTTTACAGGGGGTGTATTGGGTGTCCCAACTCATTTCCAAAATGATGGATCAGCCCTATATTTGCTGACACATGCACTTTCACCGCCATCTGCAGGAGCTGTGGGCCATTTGCTGACTCATGAAAATTTGACTTGCTAATGACTAAAGGACAAACTTATCAGTCATGAAAGTTTGATTTGCTAATGACAAATAGACAAATTGTTAAATAGAAATATATTTTAAATGCTTGGGATATCAGCAAAAGTAGAATGCACTTCATGATATCAAGCTTCTTTTCACTGTAAACAGGTTTTAACAGAAAGCAGAGGAGAGCTGGGCCCTGATCCACGGTTTGATGCCATTAATGCTGTATCTTTGGCCATCGAAGATGATGCTGACAATACTGTTGACGTTCATGTATTTATATGTGACAACAATGTCAAATCACATAGGAGGTCTGAAACCACTTGGGATTTGATCTTTTTCATTTTGGGGTCGTCAGACTAAAGTGCCCTTAGATTTAGATAGAAATCCACAGAGGATTCAAAGTTTATCTCAGAAGGCAGCTACTTTCTATCTTCATTTTTCTTTCTAAATTTAACATGTCAGTTGTCACTGGGGTATCAAAACCCAGTTTCCAGACTCTGGCCAGGAGCCAGGAGCTGGAGGCTTTCTAGGCAGTTACCAGCCAACCCTGCCAAACGATTGACTTCCTTAGAATATGGACAAGTGAGATTGACAGGACATATTGGCTGACTAGGATGATGACAATGGCAAGATGTATGTTGTCTTATATAGCCAAGTTACTAAATGATCTATTGTAGAATTTCTTGATTCGATCAGAAACAGTGTGCGCTTCCTTGTGTTGGCTTGTGATATTTTCTTTTCTTACATGGTCATAGACCCAAATGTCTCAAAATTCTTTCTTGTATATGCAGAAATCTGGATGGTATTGCTGGCTGTAATGTAGACGTCTTCCCTGAAGAAAAGGACCTTTTGAACAATCTTATCAGTGCAGTATGTTCAATTGATCCAGATATCCTAGTCGGATGGGAGATTCAGTTAGGATCTTTAGGATATCTTGCTGAAAGAGCTGCTTACCTGGGTATAGGCTTACTGAAAAGAATTTCAAGAACACCACCGCATGAGTTGAATCAGCCACCTAAGATTCCAGTTGATAACTCTAGTCAGGTGCTTTCTGAAACATCTTCTGCTGATGATATTATTGATGATGTCAGTGAGAATGATTGGAGCCATACTCATGCGAGTGGTATACATGTTGGTGGAAGAATTGTGCTTAATTTATGGCATCTCATGCGTGCAGAAGTTAAGCTTAATAATTACTCCCTTGAAGCTGTAGCTGATGAAGTACTGAGGCGAAAGATACCACTGATACCAAGCAGGATATTGAACCGATGGTTTGCAACAGGTCCTGGACGAGGAAGACACCGATGCATAGAATACATTAGCAATAGAGCTAGAATCAACCTTGAAATAATGAATCAACTGGACCTGGTAAATTGAATTTGGTATTCTTGCTTGGTATTTTTTCCCTGAATACCTCAACTTTTAGATTGTCCTAATGTTGACCTGGCATGCAGGTGAATCGAACATCTGAACTTGCTCGTGTATTTGGTATTGATTTCTTTTCTGTTCTTTCTCGAGGGTCTCAGTATCGTGTTGAATCTGTGCTCCTGAGATTGGCTCATACACAGAACTACCTTGCAATTTCCCCTGGAAATCAACAGGTGCATTTTCTTGCCACCTATCAATTTTGGATTTTCAGTATTTTGCTTTAGATATACTGTAGTTGCTGGTTACCCAATTCTGAACCTCCAATGTTATTACGAGTTTATGAAAAATTCTTGTTCATTTTAACAAATTCTGCTGATGCTGCATTATGTTAGCTAGAAGTGGTATCAATGATTTCTTTAGAACTACAGACTGGTCATTTACTACACCACATAAAACTCGAAAATAGGATATTTTTTCTGCTAAACTGTTAATTACAAGTACTACCAGCATCTTGATGTGCTTCAGTGCTACTTTGCAGGTTGCTTCTCAGCCAGTCATGGAATGCTTGCCGCTTGTAATGGAACCAGAGTCGGCCTTCTACCCTGATCCAGTTGTTGTATTGAATTTTCAGTCCCTCTATCCTTCGATGATAATAGCGTATAATCTATGTTATTCTACATGCTTGGGTAAAGTTTTCCCATCAAAGTCAAATGTACTTGGTGTCAGCTCATATTCAGCAGATCCACATACACTTGTAGATCTGAAAAATCAGCTGCTGCTTACTCCAAATGGGGTCCTGTATGTTCAACCTGAGGTGATTTTCTAAATTTTCTGAGCAATATCTGATGTTCTTCACATTGCTAGTGGAAAAATTGTGATATACCAACTGTACCTCCCATAGAAAGTTGTTCCCATATTACATTTTACCTAATTACCTCTGTGGTTGGTAGATTGACTTGTGTGATTGCCCTTGATTACCATCCAGATGAAGTACTTGCTATATTCTTGAGAACATTGTTTACCGTTACATGTTTAGTGATTCCTGGCACATTCACTATATTGCTGCACATTATGTTCCCCTAGTAAGTACTGACCTTTCCAGAACAATCTCAATGGTATGCTGCAGATAAGAAAAGGTGTACTTCCCCTCCTTCTAGAGGAGATATTGTCAACAAGAATTATGGTGAAACAAGCAATGAAAAAGTTGAGTCCATCACAGCAAGTTCTTCACAGGGTATTCACTTCTAAACCAAGTTTTGAACATCATGTGAAATGCCTGAATCTCTTGTGGATAATGTGATTGTACTATGGTACCATAGTCATTTCGTCAGTGCTGTGCTTAGGCAGTCCTCTTGCTTTCCCTTTTGTAACATTTGTTTTCAGTTTTTTTTAAAAAAAAAAACTGTTCTTACCAATTGGTGGATGTATTATAAATAATTAATTTGTTTGCAGATATTCAATGCACGGCAGCTTGCTTTGAAGCTGATAGCTAATGTAACATATGGCTACACAGCTGCTGGATTCAGTGGTCGGATGCCTTGTGCAGAGCTTGAAGACAGCATTGTTCAATGTGGCCGTAGAACACTTGAAACAGCAATATCATTTGTCAACTAGCATCTTTTGTGGAAAGCTAGGGTCGTATATGGTGATACTGACAGGTATTATTGTGTTTCTTGTTTTCTCTTTGGAGTATAATGTAATCATACTATACTTATACATCTGTTTCTGTTGTAGTATGTTTGTTCTCCTAAAAGGGCGTTCTAAGGAAGAAGCATTCAGAATAGGAAAGGAGATCGCCTCATCAATAACTGCAATGAATCCTGATCTAGTCACATTGAAGTTTGAGAAAGTGTATCAGCCATGCTTTCTTCTTACAAAGAAGAGATATGTTGGCTATAGCTACGAGAATCCTGAACAGAATGAGCCATTCTTTGATGCGAAGGGGACAGAAACAGTTCGGAGAGATACATGCCCAGCAGTTGCAAAGATTTTGGAAAGGTCTATCAGAACAATGTTTGAAGAACAGGATTTGACAAAAGTAAGGGGTATTACTTAGTCTCCTCTTGTAAGGACCATTTTCCTTGTTTTTATTATTGTTTTTTGTTGAGTGTATAGCTTTGACATTCTTCTACCATTGCAGGTCAGGACATATTTGGAGCGTCAGTGGACACGCATATTATCAGGAAAAATATCTATTCGAGATTTCATTTTTGCGAAGGAGGTCCGTTTAGGTACTTACAGTGCAAGGGCTTCCACTCTGCCCCCCTGCAGCAATTGTTGCAACAAAAGCTATGTTGTCTGACCCAAGGGCAGAGCCTCGGTATGCAGAGAGAGTGCCATATGTTGTAATCCATGGGGGAACCAGGGGCTCGTCTTGCCGACATGGTTATTGATCCTTATGGTCTGCTAGAAGTTGGCTCCCCTTATAGATTAAATGAACAATATTACATAACCAAGCAGATTATCCCTGCACTACAGTGTGTTTTTGGACTTCTTGGTGCTGATCTGAATAAGTGGTTTAATAAGATGCCTCGCCCCATACGACCAACTCTTGCGAAACGCCAGTCTGCTGCTGGTCATGGTTCATTCTCTCGTGATGGCAGTTTCATCCGATTAGGATTGAATAATAAAGCCTCAGGCAAAGGAGGCAGAATAGACACATACTACATGTCAAGCCACTGTTCAGTTTGTGGTGATATAATTCAAGGATCAGAGACCTTCTGCAACAATTGCTTGAAAAATGAAGCTGTTGTTGCCACAGTAGTTGCTGGCAGAACTTCAAAGCTTGAGCGAGAAATCCAACATCTTGCTGCTGTAAGTTTGTTTCGCATGGATCATGTTTAACATATTTGTGTATTTTACACTCATGTTAAGTTCTGTTAATTTGTGTTTACAAATTCTTGCCTGAATGTACATGCTAAGCAAAATAGTGTCATCTGATGAAATATTGATGGAGTTTCATTTACATTCAATTACAGCAGCACATCCTAGTCTCTAAATGGATTGCTAACTGATGTGTGCAACAAGAATTAGCGTCAGATAGTCTTGATCTGTAAACCTGACTTCTAGTATTTCCTTCACTGTACATGACATGGGTTGAGCAAATGCTGCAGTATTTCACGATTCAACTTTTTGTGCATAAACACAGATAGTCTTGATCTGTAAAGCTTTGAACTTTGTCCAGATATGTGGCCATTGTGGCGGTGCAGACTGGATTGTTGAAAGTGGGGTCAAGTGTATTTCCCTTGCATGCCCAGTCTTCTATGAACGGAGGAAAGTTCAGAGGGAGCTGGGAGTCGTCTCAGAGTCGGCAGGAGAAGCTGGGTATTACCCTTTCTGCTGTGCTGAACTCTTTTGAGGAGAACATTTTCGAGGTTGCGTCTTATCTGTGCATACCGTGTAAACTGTGAAATCTGTAACCTGTACATCACACGTGTTTGTGTATAGCTGTTGTAGAACATGTACTGAGTGAAGATAGAATATAGACAATGTATAATGTGCCACCGTGTCGCTGGCTGTTCAATTTAAGTGGATGCTTCTTGATGGGGACAAACGGTCAAGGCAACACTAAGCGATTACCGTGTTTTTAAAACGTACTAAACGACACCAAGCAGAGATGGCACTTGTATATGATTGGACTTTCATGTTTCTCCACTGAACTACCCAAGTGGTAGTTAAACTTAACCTAAGTTTGGAGCTTAATGAACAAGTGTGGCGTTTGAGGGGCTCCGGCCGGCTCCCGCTCTGTCACTCCATCCTGTAGCACTACTGCAGTGCTACTGTGGCGGAGCAAGCGGAACCCCAAAACCATCTCCCACGGCTCCTCTCCCCTCTGGTTCGCTACAGTGTTGCACAGGGATTCATTGTGTTGCACAGTACCTGGATGCAAGAGCCAGAGCCGCTGGGGGCCGAAACAAATGGGCCCTAAGTTTGGAGCTCATACATGCCCAAGTGTTGTGCTGAAATACTGGGCAGTAACATCGTTGCCGCACTATGAAACAACATCAAGGAAAAGCCATGACTACTACCAAACACGATCAACCACATAAGGAAGCCTTGGCTACTACCAAACACGATCGCCACATCAAAGATGGAATGCAGGATAAGCTTTAACCAAGTTCAGTTTGATGCGCTACCAAACAAAAGAGGCAACAATTCTGGAAATTCTGACAGGCTACAACCTAAATTATTTCAGTTCCACGCTGTATTGTACATAGTTCATCGCGTGGAACTAGAACATTCCCGTGGTGAGGACGACTGCTTGTTCGGAGGGCGCAGGCTTGTGTTTATTCCTGGAGCTATGGACATGGCACCATCTATAGAGCAGACTGGAACAGAATCTCCGCCAGTTCCTGCATCAGGAAAGCAAATCATGATATACCTAATCAGCAATCATCAGCGCACAGATACTTGTATGGTTGCTACTGCTGTGAGCGGTGGAGAGGACGCCTAGACTGTCATCCCATTTACCTGCTTGCCGGATGGAACAGTGGGCTCACCCCACTCTAGAACCTTCTTTTCTAGCGTCTCAAAGTCTCCTTTCCCAGCCTGTTTCAAGCCATAGAGCAACATTACACAATTCCAATCCTTGGCGGGCAAATTCCAAACCTGTAAAGTGTCATACCTCAATCAAGGCGCCAATCTCACTGTCAAAGCTTTGGTACCTTTTGCGGACAAGATCATCTAGGGAACCATCCTAACATCACAAAAACAAAACTTCCAGTTTAAAAACCTGCATGGGAAAGTTCAGTAGGTCTTAATGTGTTTTCAGTTACCTCAATCAGCTTGGCAACGTTGCGTAGTCCACGGGCCAGGGTGTCCATTCCGGAGATATGAGCAAGAAACATGTCCTCAATATCAGTACTTTCCCTCCGCCTGTTATCATAAAAGAATTCCATGTTGGTTCAGTTCCATTTTTTTTCACAAGACAAGAAACATATGACAACAGGGACTGACAATTTGGCATCAAAGTTGAAACCACCAGGTGCAAGTCCACCCTGTTAAACAAAAATGCAGCAATTTATGAGTGCAAGCAGGCAGTAGACAGGCAACCGCTGATTTGAGTAAAAAGGGAGAGCTGTTTCATGCCACTCACATTCTTAACTACACTTGACATAACCAAAGTAGCCTCTGCAATGTCTGTCATGAATTGATCTGTGTCCCAACCTGTCCATAAAGGTAAGGTAAGTTACTATGCACGCCTCATTTTTTTATTTCTTTTCTTTCTATAAAAAAAGAAGAAAGAAATGCATGTATGCTTCCAGTGTAACACAACTAGTAATATCGGGCGATATGCTTATTAAACAAACAAAGAAGTTATATACAACAGTGACATACCAACTTGAGGATCACCAGTGTTTGCATCAATATTTCCAAGCAGCCCATTAATCCGTGCAGTCTCCAGTTCATGATGGCAGCTGCAAGTTTAACATGCAAGTCTTGAAGCTATTATTATACAAGTGAAGATAGGAAAACAAAAAATTTACCTATGTCCAGATAGAGTAGCATGGTTGCACTCAACATTAATCTTGAACTCTCCTGTGTCATGTGATACACGAAAAAAGGGGTACATTCAGAACAGATGGTTAAACTCACACACACTTCACGCTTCACTTGCAGAAAAATGCTGACAATGTATGCACATCCAGAAAATATGGAAACTTTACATTACCTGTAAGACCATACTTCTGTAGAAAAGCAATCGTAGTTGCAACATCCCAGTCATACCTGCCAGAGAAACAAGGATCAGTGCTTCTGAATCCTGTAGGATATTTTGCTAATTCATTCCTGAGTAAGAAGCTTACTGGTGTTTTGTAGGTTCCTGTGGTTTAGGCTCTATCAACAGTATTCCTGAAATAACAAAATCTTCTATCACCAATTTGACATAGTAAAGACAATAAACTATGTCAAAATTATGGACATTGGAACAGGTAATCATAAAGAAACAGGACTGAATTACCGTTGAATCCGATCTTCTTCTTAGGAATTTTTTAACACCAGCCCCGTAAATTCGCACTAGAATTCGAACCCGGGCCTGCTAGATGCTATGCAAGTACTCTAGCCACTCGGCTAAGGGCCCTCTTCGCAAGGTTGCTAAGTACACCTACTCCTACAGGCAGGCTACTGCATGCCGGCCCGGGCGGCACCAAGCTCTAAAATCTCCATGAATCAATCATTGCAATCATGGGGGTATTACTGTATAATAAGCCTCTGTACTCTGTATCTGAACACACATACACACCACACCCACATGCTTACCGCTCACCAAGATCACCCAAAGTGGGAACGCTCGATAATACTTCCTCCGTTCCAAATCATAAGTCGCTTGAAATTTTTTAGTACATCCATTGTGCTATGCATCTAGATAAATAATAATATGTCTAGATACATAAAAAAAATAAATGAACCAAAAAGTTAAAACGACTTATAATTTAGAACAGAGGAAGTATTAAATAAGGTGGAGAATGAAATAGTATTTTTTGCTAGGCTCACCCCTACCGAGTGCTTAATGGCAACATTCACCAATTTCAAAGACAGGGAATACAATCACTAAGAGTAGTTGCAACCATCAAAATACTAGTTGTGTTCAATTTTCTGCATCAAATGGCCGGATGGCCGAGCACTAGTCCTCTAGAATCACTTGGCTCATCACTTGTTTAGCTTCATATGCTTCTTCAGCCTCCTTCAAGTAACGGGGCAACTGTCCTAGCCACTTATTCCTAATTCCAAGGGCCCACACAATGTCTTCATAGACTAGCTTGACGGCCTTCGGCTTTAATTTGTCTTTGTATTCTGGTGCATTCTGCAGCAGCTTCTTTAGCTCATCTTCTGAAAAGATCTGGAAAAAAAAAAGCACATTGGCCCATTACCCAAATGACAAGTTTGTCAAATGCACACAAGATTAGAACATATTTGCAAAATACTATGATTTACCTGCCGAGGATGACCAGCTAAAAGATGATCTTCAGGGTAACATACCATCTTGAGAGCGGTGGCAAGTTTAAACAAACTCCAACCCTCAGAATTAATGCCAGATATGTTCTTAAGGTGTTTGCCAGCCTCACGCAAGGATTCAGAATGTTTTTCCACACAACAATCATAGTTATACACGACACATGCCACCTCAATAATACGATCATTAATCTGGATGCAAAGAGCATTTGTACGTCACTATCAGAAAAGAAACAAAAGCAAAATAAAAATATTTCATCAAAATACTTTGGCCAGTGAAATTCAAAGGCTAATATGCACATAAAGAGTAACAGTACATGACAGGGAGCAACATAAAGCACTTCACATAAGACATATATGGAAAATGGGGTGATGAGCTCACAATCTCTGGTTTGTAGACAAAGTGATATTTATCCAAGACCCTTTTCATTCCTTCGCTCATGAGGGGGCGATCATCCTTAGTCAGCTCGGCAGGCACTAAATGGTGCATGCAATTCTTCAGGCCCCACATAACCTCCATCACAGTACTATCATGCAGGCAAGATATTTTCTGAAAAAATCCACAGTAAAATTGGTGGTCAAAATTGTTCACAGACATAAGCAAAACAAGGAACTAATACTGACCATGGTTTTTTCAATGATTTCCTTATATTCATGACTTCCTACAGCTAGTTTCTGGTCAGGCTTGATACAGCATCTGATCATCTTCGCAAGCTGTTCATTAACACCAGTATTAGGCTCAATGGCACTGGCCTTATCCTCAAAAGCTTCAAATGCTTTCAGCCAACAAATCTGATAAAGAAATGAACAGAGACATGAATGTTAGGAGGACACATGCAATTAGTGAAATGACATGACATGTCTTAGCTATAGAGTGGGTAATTCAGTAAGTACATGTGCCTCAATTGTAAAGATATAGCCTTGCTTGATTGAAAACTGACCATAGCGGCATTAGTTGGTAGTAGTATCATTACCATTTCAGGCCTCAATCATCCCTATCTAGCAGTTACTAGTCAGGAATTCGGGCATGCAAATATCGCCGAAGGTATAAATTTGTACCAACCGCTTCTTTAGATATCTCTTCGCACCACTAGTGACCTTTTAGCTAGTAAAATAGTTTTGGGGGAATAAGAATAATACCATCATGCTACATGCTTTCTAAACTGATTAGCATTTCTAAACTGATTAGCATTTCTAACTGATTTATGGCGACAAATTTGCATTCAGAGTCATTAGTAAACAGCTAATGACCACATGACTTCACAATTCTTATCTGATGCAACCAATGAATAAAACAGCAAACATGAATGCTGCTAAATTGCTGCTCACAGTATAAATTGGATACGAGTAACATAGAATAGAAATAACAATAAGGTGGAAAGAAAGAGTTCTAACTGTTTCTGCTATATCACACTTCACGAAATCAGTCCATATGTGCTGCATGTCACAGAGAATAGAGAAAAATGAGGTCAATGGCAAAGACAGAAAGAGCAAACTGCTACAGATGAATACACAAAGGTAGCCGAATAAACAAAGTTACCTCTATGGCACCTGGCAGAAGGAGTTTCACCCCATCATAACTGAACAACGCAAAGCCAGAGGGCGTTTCAAAAAGGACCAGAATGACCCCATTGTTTCCCAACTCGACACCTGAGGAAACAAAGATTTAAAATAAATTTAGGCAAGCAGAATTAGCAAAGAGAAAGAGAAACATAGTTCGTCCAGATACGAAGCGCGAAGTCAATCTCGTCCAGTTATGAAGGGCGAAGTCAATTGTTCAGAGGCATTCCTCGTCCACGACACCGCAGATCACCACAGATTGACCACCACAGACTCAACACGTCAGCCCCAATTCCCGAACCCTAAAACCTAGATCGACTTCAGCAGCCTAACAACAACGTCAGGCTCAATTTCCTACCCCTAACAGCTAGATTGAGAGAGAGAGAGAGAGAGAGGATGATGGCAGCGGGGCGGTTTGACTCACCTAGCCCGGGGAAGTAGTTCCAATTCTCATATTCCTCCACGTCGTCTTCGTCGCCCTGTTCCAACTCCTCCTCCGACTCTTCCTCCCGGTCCACCGTTTCCTCCGCCTTCTTCTCCTTCCCCTCTTCCCACGCCGTGGAGGGCGAGGCCTTCACCACTTTGCCCTCCCCCTGTGGCGTTGAAGGCGAGGCCTCCTCCGCCTTCACCACTTTCTCCTTCCACCGCGCCGTTGAGGGCGAGCCCTCCGCCTTCACCACCATCTCCTTCCCCCGCGCCGTTGAGGGCGCCTCTCGCGCTGTCGAGGGCAAGGCACCGGCCTTCTCCTCTGGTCAGCCATACAGAAGAGGGGCGAGGTCGAGATCCAGAATGTGAGAGGGTTGTTGTGGTCGGCTAGGGATATTTTCTAGATAATTTTTTTATTTGACACTCAAAAAATTTGTTGTTCCTAGATTAGCACTCAAAGTTGAAATCTTTCTTATCTGTAAATTTCTGTTCCTAGCACTTCCGTCAAAATGGGCATGTATCGGTGTTAACTGGGACGCGAAAAGATGATTTTGTCCCTCTTTAGTTTTTTTTTTTTTGTATGTGGCGCCTTCTTCTGGTACAGAGCTGTTGTTGCACAGTCCAGAGGTGTTTTGGCGCCAAATTTTGTTCAAATTTAACATGGCTGCTGCTCCAATTATTTTTGCACCAATTATTTGCGTAGGTTTATTTTTTGCACCAATTATTTTTTTCAGTTTAACATGGCTGCTGTTGCAATTATTTGCACGGTGTTAACAGAATGCACAGATTTATTTTTGCACCAATTATTTGCACCATGATAATAAGGCAAACAAACTTGAAAGAACATCCACAATAACGTGAGATCAACAATATCCAGGTTAGCACATACACTAATAGTCTAACATCCAGGTTCACATCCACACATAAATATGAGGTTCACATGCATACATAGACACCAACATCCAGGTTCTCTTCACATGAACAGAGAAGACAATTGATACATACAGGTTCACATCCAAACCAAAAGACATGGCATTTTAGCTTCTCAGATTCACAAACTCAGTCTTCTTTTACTCCTTATGCTCATTGCAAGACTTGTAGGCTGAACCTTTTTGCTCCTTGTGCCCATTGCAGGGCTATCAAGTTCCAGCTTCTTTCTTTTTGGAGTCTTTTTAGAAAGTACCTTCTTTGTTTTGCCCTTCCCCTTCTTAACACCTTCAGGTTCGCCAATTGTAAGTGGCTCAGGTTGATTTGAGCCACTTCTTGACCTATACATGTTCATGTATATCAACAATTATTTGAAGAACATATGGAAAACTGCTATGCAAAAAAAAGTTCAAATTTATTACAGCTACCTTTTCAAGGCTGCAGAGCTAGAGTTACTGTGTGTTTCCCTTTGTGTTACTTGAAATTTCCATGCTTTGGCTATGAAAAATCAGAATTAGTATATTGTACTTAGAGTTCAACATGAGTTTTCATAAATAGAAGAGGTACCTTTTTGAAGCTTCAGAACACAAGTCAACATGTTTTCTCTTTTTAGTAGTTGTAGCATCCAAATTTTGACTACAGAAGTGTTAAGGAAAGGACTACAATGAGTCACCATGTGATGCAATATAAATTCAAAAAAATGAGAGATGAGGAAACCTTGGTGGTGGAAAGGACATAGACGCTGCTGGAGCTTCATCCTCCAATGCCATAATGGAACTTTGATCAGCTACAATTGTATTTTTTCTCTTTTTTGGTGGTCCTCTACATAAGAAAATAGAAAGTTAAACATTTGTTGAATGTACAAACTATGCATGAATGGAACTTGAAACATAGGCACATACCTCACAGCTTTCCATTGCTTCTATGTCCTCTTTGCTACCCTTTTTGCACTTGTGCCAATGGTGGCCATAGTCTTTACATATAGGGCATTGGTGCTGCTCTTTCTTCCTTTTATTGTCACTAGAGCCTTTATGCCTCTCAGTTTTAGGCCTACCAGCAACAGCTTTTAGCAATGGTGGATGCATGAAAAATCCATGCTCAGATTTAGGCCATTGGGTCTTGTCAGGCAGAGCAGGGATTAGTGCACTATAAGTGTCGGTGTTTCGTACAAGCACCGGCAAGTGAATTTATAGTAATGCGCGTTAGGCTCGGATGGTGCGCTAAAGGACACAGGATTTATACTGGTTCGGGCGAAACGTCCCTACGCCCGATTTATTCTTTGCTTGTGTTATTAGCACCGTAACGATCGTAGTAAGGGATACAAACCGCCGAGAGAGGACCTGGTCCCAAGTCTCTCGATCGAAGGATTGAAAGGTGGTCAAGAGCTTCGTGAGCTGCTTGAATGTGTGTGAGTGCGTTCTATTGTTTTTGTCCTCCTTTTTCTTCCATCCCCCATGATGGAAGAAGCGCATCCCCTTTTATAGATGAAGGGGCCGACTTTACAAGGGTAAGGGCTCCAGGACGCGTACTCTACTTAATCTTGTGGCTCACGTCTACCTGGTCAGGTCCTCCACTCTGATGAGTGCGAAGGAAGATAAGTGTTTACAATGTTGTCGATGTCTCAGAGGATGTCGGGTTAGTCACGAGAATGCCGCCTGCTTGCAGGTATGGGTGCTTGCAGATGTTGGTTTTGACTTATGAGCCTCCCCGGCCTTGCTCCGCACGCCTACGGTTCTCATGAGTCCTTGTTGGGAGAATGCGGGTCGGGGTCCGGTGTAACGCCGTGGTCAAGGCCTTCGATTGGGAGGACCGAGGGTCGGAAGCGGGCGCCCTCCCTCGGGTCCACCGTGTGGTGACGGAATACCCATCGTTCGTGGAGATAGCAAATCCTTTCTGGAGGCGTAGCGGTTGTCGTATATCTTCGTCGGGTTCGTGTCCCAGAGCTGAAGGCGGCGCCTACAACTCTCTGAGGTGAGGTGCACGCACTGTAATACCTTTTGGGCTCTGCGGCACCGAAAGGGTCTAAAGCTTCAGATCCTATCGTTCCTGGCGGTCCTTTTCTCGCCAGGCGCAGGTATGGTCGTTGGAGCCATGGTTGACCCGAACGTCTTGTCTCGCGTCTGTACCCATCATTATGAGGGATAGATATCGATCGTAGGCGAGGCTCGCTCGGGCCGTCGGGTGGTGACCCGCCCTCTCGTGGTCGGGCGAGACGGAATTCATCCTCGGCCCTCGGGCGAGACCGAGCCCGCCCTCAAGGCGCGGGCGAGGCGGAGTTTATCCTCGGCCCTCGGGCGAGACCGAGCCCGCCCTATAGGGCGTCAGCGAGACGGAGATTAGCCTTGAGCTTTTTGGGGCGAGGGGGTTATCCTACAAAGGCATCGGGTGGTGACCCCGCCCCGGCGGGGTCGGCGAGATGGAATTCATCCTCGGCCCTCGGGCGAGACCGAGCCCGCCCTCAAGGCGTCGGGGGAGGCGTGAACCGAACTCTGTCACTCGAACAAGGGATGACATGGAGCCCTTATGCATCTAGAAGTTTTTCACGTTCGGTGGTCATCGGTTCCACCTTCCTGGGTACCCTGGTATTAGGTCCCCGACAAGAGCCCCGAGACTCAGGTGATTGGGTAGAACCGCCTGGAGGGTGTTTTTGATTCGTTGAAGCTAATTTGCGGAGGTGTGTGGCCTCTGGATGGGTGTAAGTTTGAGCCCCGGGTGACTCGAGTAGAGTCGCCTGGGGTTGTATCGACCTTTCGCGGGTAAGGTGAAGGACTTAATTTTTCATCAACCGGGTGTTTTTCCGAGTGGGGTCGTGGCGTCCCGTTCATCGGGACCTGATTCGGGCCGTCCTCACCGGGTGCTTACGCCCTTGGTGGCGGATTGTTCGTGGATTCCTTCTTAGTTGGGCGGCGGCGAGTTCTTTGGGCCCTAGGTGGGCCAAAGAGAAAAAAACGGGCCTTTGTGGCTTGTGCTTCCCGGTGGGTGGAGAGTCCGGATTCGCTTGGGGAAGGCGGACCGTCCGTGAGATTTTTGGGATGAGAGGATAGGGATGCGTGCGCGTGTCCCATGACGTGACGCTGTGATGGCGTGCGTGGCGAACCCGGAGATCGAGGCGAGACGGTTGCCCTTCTCGCGTCCGTCGCCCCTATAAAACCATGGGGTTCGCCCCGTGGTCCCGTGTTTCACTCCCCTTCCTTTGCGTTCGAAACATCCGCCGCTAATCTTCCCGACCTCTGCGCCCGCATTTGCCACCGCCGACCAAACTGCGTTTGTGTTTGACGCCGTTAAGCTCGCGCTTTGCCCTTCCTTCCCTCCCCGCTTCAATGGAGTTGTGGGGCAGATCAAGCATCACTTCCGGCGTCTGAGAGGGCCTCGTCGCCGTGGCTATCTCCGCCCACTATCCGCCGTCCAGAGTGGTTACTCCCCGGCGATGAGGGTGAGCCGGTGCCACTCAAGGGTATATCGTCTCCTCCTTGCCATCTTCCATGAGCGGGATTCGGGTACTGCGCGCATAGATTTCTTCGGGGCTATTAGATTACTATGAGGTAGAGCTGCGACATCTCACTCCCAATGGGATTGACATATGGCGGCGTTCATTTGTTCTGTCAGGCGAGGATTTCTGAGGATCGATCCCCATTTTGATCTCGTGGCGGTATTTCTTTAGCATTAGTCCGTCGAAGAGGAAGATTGGGGGAAAAGAAGTGAATGCGCCCGATGGGGTGTGCTGAAGATTCACCGCGCCATACCCGTCGGCCGCAGGTTACCCGTACATGCGTCTGGCTACATCCAACAAAGGATGGCATTCGCAGATGGTTTTATGTTAAGGATGATGTGAGTGCCACCCTACCAAAGTACACCGGACGTCTTATTGTGGATGCTCCGAGTCGTGGGGGGTGGGCGTCGACTAAAGACAAGAAACATATCTCCGACCTTCTCTCCGCCTCCATGCCACGAAGGGTCGGGGTGTAAAGGGTCGGGAATTATCGGCGCCTACCACGCGAGGAGGGTGGCACCACCGATGGCGCGTGTGCTTCCCTCGCATCGGATGATGCCCGGATATCGTTCGAGGGGACGGTGCTGGTTGAGGCGCTCCCTTATTCGGAAGTGGTGACATATCAAGGAGGCGACGGAGCCGACGAAGGATTCACGGCGAGGTCCTCGACATCGATGTATCCGGTGCCCGGGCATCCTCCAATGCGGCCGGAGCCTAGGTTCTTCGAATTCGTAAGCCCTCTTCTCCCGCATTCTTTTCTTTCTCCTGAATCTCCCTCTTTTAACACTTGCTTCTGTAATGTTGGGGCTAGTCGAGGAGGCTAGTCTTCAAGGATAGCCC